ATTTGGCAAATGTAAATGACTTTTACCTATAATAAGTGATCCGCCAAAGAACAAAGCAACCAAAAGTTAATTTTAAGCTTTTTTAATTAACTTGAAATTAAGCTTTTAATTTAATTCTCTTTACTAGCCGAGTTTAGTCTCTTCCATACCTGTCAGTGGAAAATAAACAATGTATAAAAGCTTTATGTCACCGTTCATAATCACAGCAGCAGAGCTTGTATGTACCTGTATTTTACTGCTGTCCTCTGATGCTAGCTGCATTTTGGAGAGAAGAGAGAGTGAGTAAGAAAGAGTCCACAGCTAAATAATGATTCAGTTTGTTTTTTGTAAATGGACCCCTGTTACACTGGTTCTCATTTACGCTATGAACTTACAGTCTTGCCCTAGTCTGATCTGGCAGACTTCTGCCTTCACAGCTATAGTCTCAGTGTTGAGGTCAAAGAAATCTTAAAACCGAAAAGGACACACTGCGTCTGTCTTGAATGCATTTTGCAACGTGGCTGGTATGAGATGCCGTGACTGTATCTCCATGGATCATAAGAAAGCATGCAGGAAAAAAAAACAACTTCGTTTTTTTTGAAGCTGAAATTAAAAAGCTTTCAACAGAGGAAGAAGGAATGCAGGCTTTCCAAAGCAGACAGAAAACTATTTGTCAGGGATCATTTAGGTCATGTGTGGTTTTCAGTGCTGGGGACCAGACTCCTGGTTTGGGGCAACTTCTGAAGTTCTCTCCAGACTTGTGTTTCCGTGAGCACGAGCTGTGAGAATACATGGCTTTGGGAGATTTGGCTGCAGATGGTTATGAGATCTAAACATGAACCACAGTTTTATATACATTTTTTAGTTCCTCTCCTTTTCTCTTTGTAGTAGCAAAACTAATAAAAGTGGTGGTACACTGATGGCTGAAGACATTTGCTGAACCAAACCTTAAAAGCAGCAGTTATTTCAATTGCTTCCTTTTCCCATCTTTACCAAAATGACTGTATCAGTATTCTGCTGTTTACACCATCAAATGTTATTTACTCTTGGAAGAGAAATCCTGATAACATTAAATCCACAAAATACAATTGGCTGAGCGTCCCAGCACAATCCATATGAGCAATTAGATTTGCCTGGTTTTAAAAAGCCTTTTTTTTTTTTTTTTTCGAATGTTTGCTCTCATAGCCTGCCCTGTCTGTTTTCTTTTTGATTCTGTTTCAAACCCTGCGGCACAATTAATACTGAATCTGTCTCTTTCTTCCTGTTTTTTTTTTTTTATTTCAGCTTCCAGATGCTGTATGCAGATTGCTATATGACCCGTGAGGAGTTCTGGGATATGTTTGATGGCTCGTTATACCACAAGCTGAGGGAGCAAATGAATTGCAAGGATGCCTTTCCAGAAGTGTATGACAAAATCTGCAAAGCTGCCAGGCACTGAGCCTGAACGACCTAATTAAGCAATCAGGGAAAGATGAATTTACCTATAGCTAGTCAGTCTATCCTTTTTAAAGAAAAGCTTTATTGCCTCCAAATAAGCTCATTCTTGTTGACGTTTAAAGATATGAATTCATGCTTTATAAACTTATGTTTAGTATTTCTTAGGATGCTTTAAAACCATTTTTCTGAACTCGAAGTGATTGTTTTTCAAAGTGCTAGCCTCTGTATCTTGGATCTAATGTAGTAACATGGGTGAATTCACCTAGCTCCAAACACGAGAAAAATAACTGGAAAAGATGACACCGAAGCAACACCGGCTATACGCTATAGCTGTATTAAAAATTACTTTTGAAAGTGGTAAGGAGGTGACAGAAATAGGTGCCAAAGCTGAATGAATTGTCAAATTAATCATGATGTTGAAAACATTTGCCTCCAGCCAGTGACCTGTAGGGCAGCTTAGTGACAGTACCGCGACCTGGCTGTGCCGCGCCGCGTGATGCTGCGTGGTACGGGGTTGTTTGGGCTATCCCGTGCTGCAGTCCCAGTTCAACTCCCCAGCAGCTGGTTCGGTTCCAAAACTGAGCGTTGAGGTGTGAAGCAAATGCTTTTTACTTGTGCCTGTCAGGTTTGTGCTGATTTTGATTATAAAATGTAAGTGGATGTAGGTTTACTTCTTTAATGATTGATAGCGTATTGTTTTTTTGCCTCAAACTGTCGTTGTTCTGGCTTTGTACAGCTGAAAAAATGCTGCTATTTCAGATAGGCAGGTATTAATTTCAGTTTTTTACTTGTTGTGGGTCAGTTTATTTGGATTTTTTTGGTTTTGCCTTTTGTTGGTTGTTTTTTTGGGTTTGTTTTTTTTTTTGCTTTTGCTTAATTTTAGTGCCTTATAAATACTCAGTTGGAGGAGGACATGGGTCACTGGAGACCAGTCTGTCCTGTCCGGCAGGACAAGGAAGTGTGTCCTCACAATTTAAGGCTTTATTTTCACAAGGTTTGTTAGAGCAAGTGGCTGTGGGTAAGAAGAAATCTTGCTGCGGAAGCTCAGTATACACAGGCATTGGTTCTGACTCGGAGAACGTTTTTGCTTTGAATTTTAGCTAGATTAGATTGATAGGCTTTGTAAAAGGACTGTTTCGGTCACCTGGGGAGGAAATCAATAGCAAGTACTGCTGGATTTCCCCTTTTGATGCATGCTGGTGAAAACAGCGTAGACGTGCACTTCACGCAGCCAGGTGCAGAGGCGTGGGAGTGCTCTGACTCCACAGCTGGAAGCATGGTGCCAAACTCAGCCCGTGTCTTGTCCAAGCAGAATGTCAATTTGTTATCCTAAACCCTGCTGAGCTCCAGGGAATAATTTTCTCGAGGGTGGCACAGAGGGCAACGTGGAGACCTCGTAAAATGGTTTGCAGCGGGAAACTTTGTTATTTTTATTTGAGTGCTAAACCAATGATTTTATTTATTGATAGATGGATGTCTATGGTCCAGATGAAACCAATGATAAAGCAGTGACAAGATTAAGCTTGGCCTGTTACTCAGTGATGCATGCTGGGCAAATTCCCTGCGATTAAGGTACCCCTGAAAGCCCTGCCGGGGCAGGGAGCAGCCTGCCAAGGGGAGACACAGCCAGCGCAGTGCCCGCGGTGCTGGCCAGGCAGGAGGCAGAGCTGTGTCAGTGATCCTGGAGCATCCACTGTACCGCTCCAGGCTTCAGGGTACCTGGGAAGGCAAACGCTGATCCTCACACTTGTGATCTTCGCTTCCCATCCCCGTGAGGGAATGGCACAGGAGCAGCTTCCTTGTTCCTGTGCGAAGCTAGGATTTAGCCCAGTGCTTGTAAGATGATCTGTGCAGAGTAAGAATTGGTTTGGTCAGTTTTTAAAGGGCAACGTTAAAGCAGCTAGAGAATATGCAAATACTTCTACTTAAGCTGTGTTTCACTTACGTACTGATGACCTTTAGGTATGCACTGTACTTGTTTTTTCATTCCTTTATTTATTGGCAAACTTGGTATGGTGTGATCTGGTACTGCAGCTGTACCAGTCCCACACGTGCACATGCATAATTGCTGCTGGTCTTGATTTTTGGCTGTAAAAGCTGTTTAAAATAAAAATATAGCCCGTGTACTGTCCAAGGTGGTGTCTCTTAATGAATTACAACTTTCTTTTTAACAGCTTTGTTTATTCTTTCTTGGGCTTGTTGTATTGCGACAAGTGCTCAGCAATTACAGAGAAAAGCTGCTGTCTTGGTCAGAAAGCAGAGGTGTTGCGAGGCTTTGGATGAGCAGCCTAATGCTGCAAACAGCTTTGGAGGGATGTGGAAGACCCCTTATCTCTGCCCCAAGACACGCCTTATAGCTGAGCCTTAACCCTTCACTTTTGTCCCATTAGCTTTAAATGCTTCTTAAGAGCCTCGTGATGCTGTTTTTTCCCCCCTTGCCTCACCCTTTCCCTCTGCCTTTATGGCACAGGAGAACAAAACTACATTTTGGATTCAGCTGTCCACGTCGGGCACTGTAGCACCTAACTCATTCCTCTATTTAAACTGGTCCCTGGTTTGAATGACGGGCCGCAGAGGTGAGGATGAAGACACAGTGCCCTCTTCAGCCTGAGTTTATGTCCACATCTTCTCTGTTTCCTTGAGAAACGCCTTTACAGCAGCTCTGTAAGCATGGAGGTATTCCTGTCCTGCTACACCTTGCTCACAGCTCACATCTTCTTCCAGTGCTCTTTCCAGGCAGAAGTTCACCTGTGCTTTCTCCTGAAAATCCAGGCTGCCAAATGCCTGAATTCCCCTGAAACGTCAATCTAGGTGCTAAAGTCCTATGTTCCTTTGACCAAATAGATTTTTAGCCCTGACTTCTGCTGCGTTTCGCAATCCTGTGTTTTCCTACCCCAGCAGGACTTCTATAGCCTGTACTCACCCACATCACTGCCCAGGCATTTCCCTTCAGAGGCCTCCTTTTTCCTTTGCTTGCCTTTCTATTACAATAATCACTATTTCTTTAAATTCCTATAGTTTTACCTGTGTTCAATTATCTCTCCCACCAAAGGGTAATTGCAGATTAATTAGCATATTTAACCAGCCACAACTACCATGTAATTACACCTAAATTTAATTATTCCAGTCTGGTGTGAGACTTTGTAAAGGTTAACTCCAAGTGAACCAGCGTGCTCCTGGTATATTTTTATGGCCACCCTTTGTTACAACCGACACAACCTTCTGTTCCTCTCACTTTGTTCATCACCTCCAGGTCTTAATACCCTGCAAAAGTTGGAATGATTGCACTGACTTCCCCCTAATGCCCTCCAGCTGCTGATAAGCAGTTGAGTTGTTAATTCAAGTGGAGCTGGGTGTTACAGCTCCACTGAGGGAGAAGGAAATGCTCCATACTGAATGAGCCGTGAGTGCTACTAAACTTTCCTTTCATTGACTTACACTGACATCCTCTTCTCAACTGTGTCAAGTTGAAAATAAAAAATAATAATAATAAAAAAGAATTACTCAACAGGCAAGTTAGAGTGATGATGGTCTAGAGTGTTTTATTACCGCAGCACAAGACTCGAGTTGTTTCCTACCTCCTGTTGCAAGTATTCTCATCTACACCGTCCCATCTACTGGCGTGTCTGATTTATTTACTGATCCGGGCTTCCCAGCGCCACCTTACATGTGGAAAACAGCAGTGGTTTCTTCACAAATGTCCGGGCAGTGTGGAGCAGAAATCAAATCTCCAGTTGTTTTTCACAACAGGCCTGAGCCGCTCACTGCGAAAAGAAGATGTGATTCAGTGGACTCCAATTATTGGCTGGATTAATCTCATTAGTCTTAATGAGCGTGGAGGTGAACAGAGCTCGTGAAAGCCTGCCTATTCCCTTGAAGGTACAGCTGTAGCTTGAAAAGTGATTTTGGAGCTAGCGCTGTTTGATCAAAGAGCAATTCGGAGCATTTGAACATCCTGCTCACTGTTCAGATTCTTTTTTTTATTATTATTATTCCTAACGGAACTGCAAACTTAACAAAGCCGGGCGATACTGAAAGCTCAATTTCATTGTGCCTCCTTCATCACAGGATAGCTAACGGAGCTGCCCCACTGAAAGCGAAGGCATATTCAGCTGAGGCACGTTCCTAACTACTCTCTGGAGATCAAGACAGCCTTTGCGGAGCTGCAGCCCCCAGTGCCACCGCAGCAGTTTGCTAATCTTGGCCACAAGCAAAGGTGAAAGCAGAGGGCTGTCCCGAGCGCCCTCATTAGCACGGTCCCTAACTGCCTCAGGGGGCTTCTCACCCTGGCGATTTCAAAGCCCTTTGTGACGGAGCTGAGCCTTGTTATCTTCCTTCTTCAAATGGGTAAACCAAGGCACAGGCTGAGAGCATGTTTTTTGTTCAAGGCCATTGATCAACCCGTGCTGGAGATGAACCGAGGAAGCCTGGCCACCCATCCCCTGCCCAGTTCCTTCCCAGGCCGCCTCCTCTAATGGGGACGGAAATTTTATCTGTACCTCCACGGCATATAACTTGCATTTCACGAGGTGGAAGATCAACCACTGTAGTATCCTGGAAGTGCCTGGGTAGCCAGTACTTCTTTAACCTCCCCCTGCCCTTGCATGGCCAGGAAGCACGGAGGTCTCCTCATTTTTTCACAGACATTAACGTGCTCGTTCACAGAGCAAACCTGCAGTGGGGCCAGCAAGTGTTCCTTCATCTCCACAGCCATCCCTCCTGCTATTTAGCCTCTCACATCGGTTGTAAAGCATCAGCAACCTGTCCTTGGCCTCAGAAGTTGCTCTAGCTGAATGCTTTTCCTGCGGGCTGGTGTGAAAGCACCTACAGCCCCGGTTGTGTCAGACTTACAGCAGGTAGGCGTCCTGCTTCGGGTTGCTGAGGTACCGCTGAGCGTCATGCAGGTACAGGGACTGGTACCTGAGCTGCTGAGGGCAGCGCTCACCCCTGGTGACATCGTAGCGGCCAACTCCTACGGTGTTCTGGAAGCAGAAGGTCACACACACGGTTTCCCATCTTGCAGGGGCACAACCAGGCGGTGGCTTTCTGATTAGCTCCACTGACTGAAGCATGCTCCCCGGTTGCCTACTGCTAGCGATAGCCACGGGCTGCTTTATCGCAGCCTGGCCACTGCAGAGTAATGTGTCAGGTTCCCCCGCAATTACGAAGGTGCCTTGACCTCTTGCAAGTTGCCTGCTCCCCACACAGCTGCACAAAGGAGAGAGAGAGCCGCGTGGAAGTCCTCTCCTCGTCCCTAGCCAAGGTGGGCTGTTTGAGAGCAAAGCTTCCCTTGCTGGCTTTGAGCCCTTCAGGCTTTGTTCTGGCTCTCTGTGGGGAAGCTGCACGGCTGAATACAGCTCTGGGAACAGGTACTAAGGGCTCTTCGATGTGCTAGAGGGAAAGCTGGCTTTTAAGTAGCAGAGCACAACTTTCTGGGAGGATACAAGGAGCCCCTGGCACCTAAAAGGACTCAGAGCAGCCCGAGGGCAGCACAAGCTCTGCTGCAGGAGCAGGAGCACAAGCTTCTGTTGACCTGGCAGGAGTTTGGGCCATTCACCAGTTTATCCTTCATCAACACGTGCTGGGCATGAAGGGCACACGGAGAAGGACTCATCTCCCATGTGGTGACATCGTGTGGTGGCATCTGGCTCCCACATCCCTGTCCTGCTGCCTTCCCTGCTCACTCACCTCGTTCCCTGCTCACTCACCTCGTTCCCATTGAAGAGGCGGTCGGACTTTCTGTCAAACCTCTTGGCAGATGACCAGAACGGGGGCTGGTTGAAGTCTGCAGATCCTTCAAAGGGTTTGGGATCGTACGAGCCAGGCCCTGCCGCATACTGCACAAAAGGAGACCTCTGATGCTTCGTCCTGCATGCAGAAAGCTGCACGGCTGCCCCAGGGCCCCGGCACCCCCAGGCGGGCTCGGTGGCTCCGTCAGGACAGACAGACCCCACAGGGATGGGGTGGGGACACCCTGCTCCCACTGACCGCATCCCTCGGGCACTGGCTGAGCGTGGCCCAGAAGATCCTCTCCGAGGGGCAGCCCGGGTTCCTCGGCAGGGTGCTGAAGCAGCCTTTCTTCTTGTTTTCCTTTGACACCAGCTCGTCCAGGAAACTCTTGGCAGTGCCAGCGCCCAGCTCGGTGCCTTTCCTCTGCAGAGGCAAGGGAGCGGTGTGAGGGGCTCGGCTGCTGGTGGTCTCTGCAGCCATCCCGTGAGAGCTGAGCCTTGCCCCTGCTCGTGGGCACGATCCTGCTCCCCTGCCCTCTGCCTGCGGCCCGCTTGTTCCCCAAACAAGGGCAACACTCAAATAGGGTCTGGCATAAAGCAGCTCTCCACCATGCTCCGATCCATTTATGGGGGCAGTGCCACCGCTTGCTGATAAACCCCATCCAGGCGTCTTGTCCCGGGGCTACGTACCTCCCAGTCATGCCGCCGGCTGCTGCTGGGCTTCGTCTTGTCCCCTGAAACCTGGGGGGGGACGCGGCCGGCCGCCCGCCGCAGCCCCTCCTCAATGCTGCTGGGCAGGGAGTAGGTGCCGGGCCCCAGGCCGCTGCCCTGCAGGCACAGCGGGGAAGGCAACGGGGCTACGGTCAGCAGGGGGACGGGGTCACCCCATGGATGTGTCCCCAGGGTGAGGGGCAGCACGTGCCATGGCTGCTGGGAGGACACACTTCTCCGTCCTGCTGTCCATCAGACCACGTGTGCCAGCGGAGCGCTTGTCCCTCTCGTCCAGCGGGGTGTAGGGGTTCCCCCGGGGGCCGTAGGTGCCGGGGCCAGGGAAGCAGTCCTGTGGGAGAGATGGGACGGCGTGGGCAGCCCCCAAGCAGCCCTAGAAGGGGGAAGGGTGCCCGCAGTGATGCCAGCAGCTCCCGAGGCAGGCTGAGATGTACCCGCTGGCCAGCCCTGAACCTCGGCTCCCGTGTGTCGCAGATGCCCCGGAGGCTGGAGGGCCGCGTCTCCTGCAGGGAGCCCCTGATGTTGTACGTCCCCGGGCCCAGCCTTGCCTCCTGCAAGAGGAAAAAGGACGGGGTGAGGATGAGCCGGGTGCTCCCGGCAGCGCTGCCTGCGTCACTGGACCCCCAGGAAATGTGCACGGAGGGTGGATCGACCCCAGCTCTTACCTGGAGTTTGCGTTTCTTCTTCATCACCTTGAAGTGGAAATGGGGCAGCTGGATTGTCCGTGAGCCCAGCTCTGCCCCGGCCCAGCAGGAGGCTGGCACTCTGCCCTGCAAGGCAGAGCCGGAGCATCACAGTGTGTATATTGATGCCCCACGTCCCGCTGCTCATCCCGGCCCTGTCGCTCATCCCAATGTAATGCACCAAGAAAGGGGGTTGCTTTTGGGTGGCTGGATTTCACAGACACAGCCTGCATGTGGCCTGGAAGGCGGCTCCCAGGGAAAGCTGGGCTTTGCTGTGGATCCTCACTACCCGTGGACCACAGGAACAGCTGCTCTGCTGAGCTGCACGCTCCCAAGCCCGGGGTGTGAGCAGCTTGCATCCACATCAACACCCCAGGGTGCTCCCAAGCCCGAGCTGGGTGTCCCCAGCTGCTGTGTGCAAAATGGTCTCAGCCGATTTGGGAGCTGCACCGCTAATTCTGGCTCTCCCCCCATGTACCCACGGCCTCACCTGGCTGCCCATGTCTCACGCAGGTGGCTCTGCGGTGGCAGCCCACGCCGTGGCAGCCCTCACCATGGTACCCACGTTCTGTGGGGCCAAGCTGAGCACCCTGGCTGGAACAGGGGCTGCAGCCTGGCAGCCCAGAGCCCCCCACCCTGCCTGTAGCAGGTCCCTCGAGCCCTCTGGGGTGATTTAATTACCATGTTTGTACCAGTTGCTCAGCAAAGCCTGCACCTCGGGTAGCTGCCAGGGGGCAGGGGACTTGTGGTGCTGTTATATCCCCCAGGAACTTCCCAAAAGGTGGCTTTAGGACAAGCCCTGCAATTACTGCCTTACTGGGCATAAAAACATCATCCTGGAGCTGTGTGATTACAGTAATGTCACTGGAGGGAATGGAAGCTCTCAGGAGATTTACCTCATGAGATGTGCGAGGCAGCGCTGTGGGCTCGTGGACCCTCCAAGCTGTGTAAGACCATGCCCAGGGTCAGCCAGGATGCTGAACCCCAGGCCTGAACTGCAAATCCTCCACAGAACGGAGAGAGGTTTGGCTGCTGAATGACTTCATCTCTCACCTGCCCTGCTGGCAAGGAAAGAAACATTTTCCACCACCCAGTGAGGATCCAGGACTGTGGCTTCTCCAACACCAACCTCCCGCCTTGGCATGGTCCTGTAGCCAGAGTGGCTGGGCCGGGGCTCATACCATTATTCACTCCCCACCCAGCACAGCAGGAAAAAATAGACCACAGCCAGACTTTCAGGCACAAAGCCCCAAGCTTAGCTCCTCATCCAGTGCTGCCTGCTGGTTTAATAAGAGATATCAGCTTTCCCTGCAGACCATGCCTCCTGTATAGCCTCAAACCCTCGCAGTTAAAACACCGCCCCGGCAAATCAATCCAAGATGGTTTTGTCTCTTTGATCAGCGCAGCAGGCAGTAAGTCACTGAAGGAAAAGTGTTTCGCTTCCGCGGCTGGAAGAAGCGATAGAAACAATGAAGGACAACTCTCCGGCCCTGAAGCGCCTGGTGAAAACCTTCCACTTGCTGAGCAAGCAGGAGGTGGCCATGGGGATATCCACCGTGGCACCAGGCATCCTGCAGGACCTGCAGCTCAGCCGCTGCATGTCTCCCCGACAGCGTCTCCATTGCTCACTTGATTGCGGTGAGAAACACGTAGGAAGAAGTAATTATCTGGCAAAACCAGTGGAGGCGGTTTGGGAGTGAAGTCGTTATTTGGGAGCCAGGAAACCACAGCCAGATCCTGGCTCCGGCACTGAGCTGCTGAGAGACCTGTCCCTCTGGGCAGTGCCTTACAGGATGCTGAGGCCTCTTGCAGGGATGTCTCAAGCGTTTAGTGGCTTCAGTGCTCCTAAATCACTCAGGAGCATTAAAAACAGCCCCTTTAATCCCTTATTTTTCCCATTTCCACATGGCTATAAATGGCAGTGCACCTCAGTGTGTGTTCTGTGTTATAGAAGAATCATGAAGATTTCCTCAGATCCCATTTCTAAATAAAACAAGGGTTCACACTCACTTCCTTATATTTTAAAATGATAATTTAATTCCTTGTAAAACGCGGGTCAGTGAAGTGAAATCTCCACCCTTAGCGGAGTACTTTTATATGTGCTTACAACTGCTCTTCAGAGATATTTTTTTAATTTCCACTGAGCTCCAGCTCCAGGAGGGATGCTGAAAAGCGCAGCAAGGCGGCGGTCACTGGGCAGGGGGGGATGTCCCCCCAGCTCCCCTCAGCGCCCCGCGGCCTCCACACGGCAGACGGCGCCCTCATTGCCTCTCCCTCCCCGTCCCCGCCATGACGGAGCCTCCCCCACGGCCGTTCCCGCCTCCGGCCGCCATTTTGTGGGCTGCGCCCGCCGCCCCCTGCCCGCTCCCCTCAGGGCCGGCCGCCGTCATGTCGGGCGGGCTCCGCGGCTGGCGAGCGGCGGCCGGCCCCTTGCTGCAAGCCTCCGGGGCCCCTCCTGGAGCCAGGCGGCGGCGCCTGCTGCTGTCCGAGCTCTTCCAGCCCTTGAACCTGCAGGGCGAGGGGAGCGAGGCGGGGTGGGAGGCGGGCAGCCGCAGCCACAGGCTGATGGTGCAAGGGGGGCTCATCCACCCCGGCAGCACCGGCTGCTACTGCTACCTCCCGCCCGCCGTCCGCGCCATGGACAAGCTCGTCCGCCTCATCGATCAGGCGATGGAGGCGGTGGGAGGGCAGAAGGTGAACATGCCCTGCCTGAGCTCGGCGGAGCTGTGGCGAGCCAGCGGGCGCTGGGAGAACATGGGGCCGGAGCTGTTCCGCCTGGCTGACAGGCACGGCAAGGAGTATTGCCTGGGGCCCACGCACGAAGAGGCGGTCACGGAGCTGGTGGCGGCGCAGAGCGGGCTGTCCTACAAGCAATTGCCGCTGCGCCTCTACCAAGTGACAAGGAAGTTTCGGGACGAGCCCAAGCCCCGCTTCGGCTTGCTGCGCAGCCGGGAGTTCTACATGAAGGACATGTACACCTTCGACACCTCAGAGGAGGCGGCTCAGCGCACCTACGAGCTGCTGTGCGGTGCCTACCGCAGCCTCTTCGAGCGCCTGGGCTTGCCCTGCGTGCAGGTGCGGGCGGCCACAGGCAGCATCGGGGGCACCACGTCCCACGAGTTCCAGCTGCCAGCGGACATCGGCGAGGACCGGCTGGTGCTGTGCCCACACGGACACTTCGCGGCCAACGTGGAGATGGTCAGCGGGGAGCAGGCTGCATGCCCCACGTGTGGGGAAAAACTCACCCAGACGAGAGGGATCGAAGTGGGGCACACGTTTTATCTGGGTACCAAGTACTCGGCTGTCTACAACGCCATCTACTATTCCCCCGACAACAAGCCCCACCTGGCAGAAATGGGGTGCTACGGGCTGGGTGTCACGCGCATCCTGGCAGCCTCCATCGAGGTGCTGTCGACAGAGGACAGCATCCGTTGGCCGAGCCTCATCGCGCCCTACCAGGTGTGCTTCATCCCCCCCAAGAAAGGCAGCAAGGAGGAGCAGGGAGCCGCGCTGCTGGAGGGCATCTACGACGACTTCGTTGAGGCCCATCCGCACCTCGCGGGTGACGCAGTGCTGGATGACAGGACGCAGATGACAATTGGCAAAAGGCTGAAAGATGCCAAAAAGCTGGGGTACCCCTACGTGGTCATAGCTGGGAAGAGGGCTTGCGAGGACCCTCCGGTCTTTGAGGTTTGGGATCAAAACTCTGGTGAGGTTTTGTACCTCACCAAGGAAGGTGTCATTGAGTTACTGAGTAAAGTGCAAGTCCCTTAAAATCCCCGTCTGCTAATCTCTCATTTTTGCTGCACTGAGTAGGGCCTGAGCAGTTCCTTCTTAAGGAGTTGCTGCCTGTTAGTGATGGCTCTGGGTGAGCAGAGCCATATCCAGTTCACATCTGAGCCACCCACAGCACCTTGCAGCAGCACCAGGAGATGGGGTGAGCTGGGTCAGCCCACACAAGCCCCACTAGACGCTGCAACATGGGGATATGAGGGGCCTTTCCTTCACCCTTTTCAGGTACTGAATTCTTTAGATGAAGGGTTTTCAGAGAGAGAGAAAGGAAAGTGCCTTTCCCTGGCTTGCATGTTGTCTTTGGAGACACCCAAGTTCTGTGAATGTGGAGTTTAATTTGCACATAAAATTAAAGCAAAAGGGTGAGCTGGAGAGCCTTTTTCAGTTTGCAAATGCCTTAGCATTATGAATCTGCAGGAAAAAAAGGTGATGAATGCTGTCAGGCACCCACACCCAGCCTGCAAGTCAGTTCAGCTGGTGAGACGTGGATCCACTAGGCTGGGGCAGTGATGGAGTGGTTGTGGTGGCTGCTGGCTTCATGGGCTGGGCCCTTTTCTATCTACCCAGCCAAGCATTCCTTTCTGGCCCTGTTACACGTCATGGCAGCATCTTCTGCTCATCACCAGTCCCACAAAGTGCCCTGCTGTCCCCATGGGGTGTGCTGTCCCACACGTTCATGGCTGGGCTCCACAAACTCCAACAAGCAAAGGATGTGGCAGTAGCCCCAAAGGTAGGGACAGCGAGATCCTTCCCAGCCTCGTTCCTGCAAGCATTTGACAGTGCTGAACACTGAGCATGCACCCATCCCTGTCACACTGCTGACATCTCCCCATGAACCCTTATGTGACCACTGTCCAGCCCTGCACAGGGAGATCTTTGGGGAGAATTGCCTCTCCCCATGCTGCAGCTTCTGGACCTGCTGCATCTAGATATACCAGCAACAACAGGGCCACTGCCACGTAGGACTTCATGGCAGAGCCACTGCTCTACTTGTGTTCCCAGGTCATACAATCCTTCCCCCTCATCTGAGGCAGGATCATTGCCCTCAAGACCTGCCTTACACTGCAGTTACACTCGGGTGCAAAAGCAGTGTAAGGTCACAGCAACGGCCTTATTTGTTGAGGTAAAGTTATCAACTCAGCAAAACATGTGATTCAGAGGGGTGCGAGCTTTGGCTCTTTTCCTGGCAGATCACCTGCTGGACAGGGGAGTGTGGGGAAGCTGGGGGACTCTCACTGACACCAGAGAAATTCCAGTAAATGCGTGCAGAGGAAATTTCAAACATGCGAGTGTTTTCCTTCTGCAGGTCGCGTGCTATTTGGAAGGTGGGGTAGTGTTTCCACAGACAAGCACGTTGACAAAGTGGAAACGGAGCCCCCTCTTCCCCCAAGATAGTTTGCAGCACAGCCTGAACGAGGATCTTGGAGCCCTGTGTGTTACTCTTGTGCTTTCCTTCCTCAGGTGCAGGTGTAGCGGTGTATGCACGTTGCGTGACCAGGTCCAAATTTCCAAACAGATTTGCCCAATTTCTGCACCTGGCTCAGGGAGCCAAGTTCCAGAGGGGCTGCACACAGGGGCCCTGCTTGCTCCTGCTTGTGACTCCAGAAACTCTTGGGTGCATTTTATCTGTATATATTTATCTCAGGACTGATAACCACTGCAGAACAGCTGCAAAAGGTGAAGCCAGCTCATTTTCCTGCCTCAGAAAAGCTGCTTTGGTCCCTCCCGAGGGTCCAGCGATGCTCTGGTTTCCCCGAGCTGCTCCCACCACCTGGACAGACCCAAAGCAGACCCTGCGCTACCATCACAGAGCTAAAAGCAGGGCAAGGCATAACCGAGACCCTTCCACACCACCGGGACGGGCTTTTTGGGGCTGTACAAAGAATCAGGGCAGGGTTTGAGGGACTCCCCCGGCTCCCCCTCAGGCGCTGGGCGGGCAAAATGGCGGCGGGGGGGGGGTAGGAGAGGGCGGGCTGAGGCGGCGCCGCGCTGAGGCGCTGGGGCCGGGCCGTGAGGAGCGGGGCGGGCTCGGCAGCACCATGGCGGAGCCTGAGGGGAGCGGCGAGGCTCGGAGGTACCGGGGCGGCTTCAACCCGGACACCTGGGAGCAGGTGAGGCGGTGTGGGGGAGCTGGGGGAGCACAGCAGCGAGATGGCGGCGCGGGCTGAGGCGAGGAGTGTTCCCGCAGGAGCTGGAGGCCATCCCCATGTTCATGAAGCGGTGCCCGGCCGAGATCGACGCGGCGCGGCAGCCCGACCTGGCCTGCCTGCAGTCCCTGCTGTTCGACGAGGAGCAGGAGCCCGCAGGTTTGGGGCTGGGGAGGTCGGTGGGGGTCGCCCCTCAGCGCTGGGGGTGCCCCCGGGGGTGGTGGGGCAGCGCGGTCTCCTCTGAGGCAGCTGCGCCCGGTGCCGCCCTGCAGAGTTGGCCAAGATGTACAAAAACGAAGGCAACGAGTACTTCAGGGAGAAGGACTACGGCAGGGCCGTCGTGTCCTACAGCGAGGGGCTGAAGAAGAAGTGCGAGGACGCAGAGCTCAACGCCGTGCTGCACACCAACAGGGGGGCCGCGCACTTCCACCTGGGTGAGGGGTCCAGAGCTGCTTTCCTGCTGTGCTTTCCTGTTTTAAATCTCCTTTTCTTGTGATACAGCATGATAAATAGCTTATTTGTGGTAAAAAAAGACGTCTGGAACCCTGAAAACCTGGCTCAATCTGGAGCCCAGCTGTGTGTAGGGCCTGCACTGCTCGCAAACATCTCCTGAAGCAACAAATTTTGCCACTCACCATGTCCTAAATCTACCACCCAACACTACTGCTACAGCAAAGAGGCTGTTCTTGGCCTTTTAATGCTTTTGCATGTTGCAGTTGGCAGATTATCTCTTCAGTCGCATGGTTTATCTTTCACCTGTCTGACTCCTGTCCTTGCACTTCTTGCTCTAGGTTTGCTCCTTCTTCCCCCTCTTGTCTCCTGGTGAATGTAGAAGTGGTGAACTACAGTCCCCACACAAGCTATTTTGTTGCTTAGGGATTTTGCTGCTTGGATTTGAAGTGTAAATCCAAGTTTCTAAGCAGTTTTATTTTGTTTATAGGTAACTACCGTTCTGCCCTCAATGATGCGATCCAAGCAAAAAAGCTGAAGCCCACCCACCTCAAAGCAATCATAAGAGGTAAGTGTTAAAGCCTGTGTTACTGCACCGAGTGCAAGGAACATCCCCTCAAAACAGCTTTAAATAGGTTGTGTTTACTTGTTACGCTCTTGTAGTTACAAACCTCAGAGTGGAATTTTGTTGCCTTTTTTCACTGCATGTTTCTGTGGTTTAAGTAACTGTTTATAAACCTTAAATTGCTGTGAGTGTGCATCTTTCCTTCAGGACTGCATTCATTTCAGAAAAGTAAAACTGTTACTGTACTAGATCTCTTCTCTTGTTCTGCTGTTGCTGTTTCTCTCCAGTACATAGCTTTGTGTTTTGTATTGGATTTTCAATCAAAGTGCTATCTTTTTGCTCTTCAGTTTCCCTATTTGTAAAAGAGGCATTCACTGAACCATTTTCTATAGAAGATAGCATAACTTTTGCTGCTTTCCACGATACTTGCTTTTAGTGCAGGGTTGTTTTTTTTCATTATTTCTCATTCTGTATAAATTACTGCTTTATTTTTCCTTTTGAAACATACTGAAATGTTAATTGTAATGATGAAATTTTGCTTGTAACAGACACTGCTAGCATCCTTCACAGACTTGTGACTAGACTAGCGAGTGGTGCTAGAGCTGCTAAAATGTTTTAGATTTTCTTCTCAGCTTACCACACCTGCTGGAAGTCTGCGATTGAACATGACCCCGCAAAACAATAGCATGTGTTGCCTGTACATGCCTTTGGAAGGCGCTAGGCCTAAAGCTGTTTTTATAACCACCATGTTGTGTACTAGTCATATACCAACTCCAACGCCAGACACTTAAAGTCTTAATCCTTCCAGGAGCTCTCTGTCACATGGAGCTAAAGAATTTCTCTGAAGCAATAGCATGGTGTGAGGAGGGCTTGCGAATAGACTCAAAAGAGAAAAAGCTTGTGGAAATGAGAGCTAAAGCTGACAAATTAAAGGTAAGTATTACGGGAGTCTAGCATCTACTGTGCTTATTTCAGGATTGGTTCTGCCTGCTTTGCATCTAGAAGCTCTTTGGCCAGAGAGTACTCTGTGCAAGTTTCTCTGCAGTGTAATTTCTCCCCAAAGCAGAACTGAGAGGTGGTTCTGCACAGCATGTGTTGTTGAGATGTGGAGGGAAAAAAGCTGGAGCCCTTCTGGAGATCCAGGCTGATTTCTCCACTCAGCAGCGGAGTGATGATGGGCAGTGACTTGCTGTGTTTGAACGTGGTGCAATCTTCTCTTACACGCAGCGAGCTGCGGAGCGGGACGCGAGGAAAGCAAAGGTGATAGAGAAGAAAGAACAAGGTCAAAAGGAAACTTTGCTGGCAGCGATAAAGGTGGGTCAGTGAGGGGATTTGTGTATTGTTTCTTCTTTTTTTTTTTCTTCTTGTTTGTCTCCAAGGATTTGTTTTCCTGTGCAGATTTGAGGGCTAGCACTAAAAATACTGAGAGACAGCCCTGATTCTCCTTATGTGCTTGGTTCTAGCCCCAGCTCCCAGGGCTGTTTCCATATTTTAGGTAACAACTAATGCAAAATACAAACCTGGTGTTAGGAGATGGACCAAGCATCCAAGAGGAGCACTCAGGAGCTGCTGCATGTGATTGCACCCTGAAGTTATGCTTGCTAGGTCCCAAAGAACAGAACTTCAGCTGCATCCCTTTCCCCATGTCTTCCCAGGCCTTTTTTTCTCCGCATGCTAGCTCCTCTGGATTCCCACCTCTCATCACTCATTTTATGAGCAGTCTGGGTACCTGGCTGAGGTTCTGGAATCTGTAGGGAAGAGCAGTCACCCAAGTTTTTGGTGGAATGCTTAAGAGCAGATTCATTAACGAGAGTGACACAATTTGTCCTTTTACTGCTAATTTTTCTGATCTTATCTCCACACATACACTTTATTTTATTTTATTTTATTTTTAATCTCCTTCCTCCCCACTAGGAAAGAAATATCAAGCTGGTTCTTGAACCCTCAAATGAAGAAGAGGACATATCTGATGGTCTGGCTGAGATATCTTTAGACGGGTTCCACTCTCACAATGCCACAGGGGCCAAGGTGCACTTGGATGCTGATGGCAACCTGAACTGGCCTGTCCTCTTTCTGTATCCCGAGCACGAGCAGACAGACTTCATTGAGGCTTTCCACGAGAACTCCAGGTAAATGCACTGTCAGCAGCGTTCTGGCATGAAGGAGAAGTTGAGTAAATGTCAACAGCCAGTAAGTGAAACATCATTTCATGCCAGTGAAGTAGCTCCAGAGCTTGGATCTCTTAGCTGACCCTGCTTTTGAGCAGGAGGTTGCGCTGGATGACCTCCTGAGAATAATTCAGGTTGGAAGGGATCTGTGACCTACAAATGCTGCTTTAAAATATTTGAGGGCCAAAATCTAGATACTGCTTACATTTATGGTTCAGAGAAACACATCATACATGTCTAGCCAGTGCGATTAAAGGGGCCTACTCTGCAAGCCTAGACCAGTGGGCAGCAATATTTGTGACCCATCTGCATGCACGGGTTTCAGAGGTTCACCAAGGTGCTGCTTTGAAGCCCTCCAAATACATGGGTCTTGACAAGAGGATTAAACTAAAAAAAAAATGCCTCCATAAAGGAGCTTCTCGGGATCACTAATGAGCCACTAGGCTTTTCTGAAGTGCTGTAGACCTTACAGACTATAAGCAAGTGACTGGCTGGGACCTCCACTTTCCTGACATAAACTTCAGTTTCTGGTCTGGCAAATTTAAACAAACTCGAAATTTGTAACATTTTGTTGTAGGGACATATGCATTCTTCAGATCCACTAACAGCATTACAACTTAAAAATACAGTGCAAACAGATTAGTAAAGCTGTAGTTCTTACACAGTATTCTTTTCATGACCAAAAACAGTGAAAATGGGTTCTTGGAACAAGTTCCAGGAGCTGGTGCTTCCAGTTCTCCCGACGTGCCAAAATAAACAAGTGACTGACACATGAGCATATTCTGAGCGCTGATCTGGTGGAGCACGGTGCTGATGGGACCAAGGGAAATGAGTTGTAGATTAAAAAATCACAGAGTTTATTTTCACACCTTTTTTCAGTGTGAAAAGAAAAACTAAAAATAACTTGCTCCTGCACTGTTCAAGTTTGAAACCAGTAGTATGAGTTAAACCAGGGCCTTGGTCTCATGGCAAAAGCAATGAGCTTCAAAGGAAGAAGCTATTAAACTTGCAGACATCTAAACTTATTTTCGGTCCACAGACCGATTTGTTAACTTATTTTTCCCATTATTCACATGCCAACTGTACAAATTAAACTGAACACTAAGATAACAAGTATGATTTGTTTTTTTTTTTTTTAGATTTATTGATCATTTAACAGTGATGTTTGCTGAGTTGCCTCCTTGGGATTTAGAAAGAAAATACCTTCCCGGCAATCTTGAGGTAAGAAACTTGACTTCTATTTGAGTTTGTTTCTTTGGGAGGTTGAGCATCTCCGTGTGTATGAAGGCAATGGCACCGTTATCTGTTTACCATCGGGCTGTTAGGCTGCTTGTTTTTGTTTTTTTTTTTAACTTTGTTGTGGTGAAATTGTCCAATCCAAATAATATTTAAAATAATAATAATTTCAGACCTAATTGATGGCAGATAAACACCCACCCAGTTAAACCCATCAAGTCAGTGTGGTTTTGTTGTGGCTACAGCAGGTTTGGAGCGCTTTTCAGGAGCTGTACCTAGAGAGCTGTTGCTGTTTGTCTCATTTTCCCCTTGACACGTGCCAGGCGGCAGGGCAGCCGGTAGTGCGGTGGGCAGGCAGGTCCAAAAGGCCAGCGTCTGTGTACTTTGCCAGATCAGAAACTGGGATTGTAGCTGCGTGCGTGTACGGACAACATAAGGCACGGCCAGATCTGAATCTCTTCTATTTAAACAAACAGAATGGATTTCTTTAAAACCCACTCCGTTTAATTCATGCCGTTGCTACGTTTCACCTGTTAAAAGGTGAAATCCCAGGAGATTGGGGTTGCTGTGCTGTAAGGCACAGGAGCAGCCCCTGTGTTTTGTGTTCCTGCTGCCTGCTGCCACGAGAGGCTAAGCTGGTCAGGTACCTGGAAGACTTTGAATTGACACAAAGCGGCGTGCGTGGCTGAAAACAGTGTGTGACACAGTCAGGTCAAGGTACAGAGGTTTGATAAACCTCTGCTAGGTTTCTGCTGTGCTGCTACTGGGCTTGCAACAGCGTAGTAGTTTGCCTTCTTGTATCCGAAGCCTGTAATAACCCTCCCAAATTTCTTCAGCTCTACTTTGAAGATGAAGAAAGAGCAGAAATGTACGAGCTGAACCCAGACCAGACGTTGCTACAAGCGCTGCAGCACCAAAGGTGAGGCTGGACCTGTTCGCTTCCAGGGGGAGCACGAAGGCACCAAGCACCAGCTTTCAGCTTTAAGGGCAGTTTTTTCCTCTGATTTAACAGCCCTGACTCGTGGCCATCTCAAAGCGAGGAAGATGTAAGGCACCAGGGCCACGTGGCTTTGTGGCTGGCTTTCAGTGACTTGTTTTTTGTTTTCTTCCCCCCCAAAAAAAAATGCACAACTCTCTCCAGGGCTGGATAGAGATGGGAAGGGGGAGTTGGGCTACACACAGCAGCGTGGTGACGGTGAACAATGCTCTCACTGTTCATAACGCTGTGCGGGCAGGTCCCCACCCAGCATGCAGCACAGTTTCACTCCCTGGAATTGCCTTTCAAGTGTTGTTTAGAGAAAAGAATTGGCTGTTGGTGGAAAAAAAAACTGCTGTAAAGCTTGTGCTGTTAGCTTGCACCGTCTTGTAGCTAGCTGGGGAAGGCCCGCAGCACGGCAGTAGTTGCTGGGAGAAGCTTTGTGTTATAAAACACTCCTCGGATGTGGGATTGGCTCTGCCAACCAGCCAAAAAGCTCGTCAGCCTTCATAGAGCTGGGCAGCAGTCACCTGCTTTGCTTTGCAGGACCTTTTGCCAGATGCAGGGAAACCCAAGCGCTCCTTTTAATCTTTGCAGGTATTTTGTGAAGGCTGGGACGCCGACAGTTCTGGCGTTTGTGAAGCGTTCTCCTTTCTCCAAGAAGTACTTCACTGGCAGGAAGGTGCATCGGCTGCGACGCTGAGAGTGAAACAAGGAACCTGGTGCAAGAAACAGTCGGTTCTGTTCTGTCTCAGCCACAGAACGCAAACTTCTGCTTGCACAAAAACACCTCGGCACGCTTCAGGGGAGAAATAATCTTGGCACGTGGGGAAACTTCCAGCAAAGAAGCATAGGAGGAGAACGAAGGGCTTACAAGAGGGGATTATTTGTTTAAATAGAAATCCAGCTGGCTTGCAGAAGGTCTCCTCTCTGACAGGCTGCGTGGGGTCCTGAAACAAACCTGAAGCGCTGCCAGACGTTGGCTGCAGCTGAAGCCACAGCAGCTGGGAACGAACTTACCTGTGAAAAATCACGGATTGCCCTGCGAGGTGGGCTGCAGGTGCCAGGGTTTAACAGCAGTGGTCCGGGGTGACAACCTGCCTGCTGCCACGAGCTGAGTGCGGGCAGGCTCCTGCACTGGACTGCTCTGGCTCTGAGGATTCAGCAGCAGCTGATCAGCTCTGCTGCCAGCCCCAGGAAATCAGAGCTCTTTGTCTGCAGCGGTGCCTTGTACTGACTTTTGCTACCTATATGAAAGGGAAATAAAGGTGTCTATTTTAAGCAGCCTGACTCCTGCCTAATCAATGGGGTGATCATTTTTTCTCCCCGGGTGAAATACTAAAAGTGAACAACAAACGGTAATTCTAGACCCGAACCCAACAGCCTTATCCATCACTGGTAGTGGCAACGTAGCCCTCTGTGCTTCTGTAGGAGCTTCCACTTTAATCAAAATTAATTCTGAATCCCAAATTTCTCTGTCCCAAAGCTGCAGGTTTGGAAACATCACGTTCAGAGGGCACCGACAAGCTCTCCAGCCATAGCAGCTTCTGCTTCGATCACGAAGGACATTTCCCTTTCCAGTTCTGCCTTCGGACAGCTCGAAATCAAGCAAGCAGGTGGGCGTTCTGTTTAGTTATTTCCAAATCGCTGCGCTGTGCACAAACAGAGCTCCGGCACCTCTGGGGATGGCGAAACTCCGAACCCCAGGGTCACTTTGCAGCGGTGCTCACAGGGTGGAGAGGTGGGTGGCCAGGCGGTAGAGGCTGGCGCCGTTGCAGGCGATGCAGCAGAGGTCGCAGAGGGTGGAGGCGGCGCGGTAGAGGCCGAGCTGCCGGGCCAGCTGCCCTGTAGCCTGGGGTCAGAGGCGCGCAGCTCCCTGCAGGCCCCCCCGGCGAGCAGCCCCACCTCCTGCCCCAGCCCGTGGGCGCGCTCGATGCGGTGCATCTCCGCCGCGATGTCGCAGCTGGCCTGCCCCAACCACTGCGTGTTCAGCGCGGAGACGGCCACGCAGACAAAGAAGATGATGATCTGCAAGAGGGGAGCAAGGCCCACAGTGAATTAAACCCACCCTGAAGGCTCGCTGAAAGCTGGATGCTGTTATTTCTTTTAAAATAAGCCACATGTGGAGCTCGTTGCTGTTCACAGAGCGGAATGAAGCTGGGGTTAGGGCTGCAGGGTGCAGCCAGCTGGCCTGTAAAAGCAGGGGGCCTGCTACCTGTGTGGTTTCCTCCTCGCTGAGCAGCTCGCTGGGGTGATGCATGGCAAACAGGGTCAGGTTGAGGAAGGCGCAGGTGGAGCCGATGTGGAAGTAGTAAGGGCTGAGCTCTCTCTGCACCAGGCCGGAGGTGTGGCGGGGGAGGCGGCTGCGCATCACCAGCCCTGCCGAGGGGACAGCAAATGGGTCCCGGGCACGCAGCCACGGCCAGGGGCGTGCGGGGACCGCAGCCTACCTGCCACCAGGGTCACCCAGATCTGCATCCCCCAGGAGGCGGAGAGGAGGAGCAGGTGCAGCAGTTTCACCGTGTTGGAGGGCTCCGTCGTGGTCAGCGTCGGGCCCTGGTTGGGGCCGGGTGTCTCCATGTCAGCCAGGTCACCCCGCTGGGGCTGCAGAGCGGGTTTCCGAGCCCCTTTTATCCCCGCTACGGGCGCTGCGTCAGCACCCAGGCACTGCCTGCTTTGGGTGGACTTACAGCAAAGTCCGGCCAAAGCCCGCTCTGACCCCTGGCAGCACGCAGGGTCAACAGGAGGGGGAAAGAAAAAGCCTGGGCAGGTATCAAACACCCAGGAAGATATCAACTACCTGCCCACGCTGTGGGTATTGAAGAGACACCTTTTCTGGGGGAGAAGTCTGTGGTGCCCTGCTGGGGGAATCCTGCTCAGGCACCCCAAATCTCCACGCTGGCACCAGTTGAGGAAGGTGGCAGTGAAGGGGAGCGTTTGGGGACGAGCTGGGAAAGCCTTTATCTCCCGTGATAACACCTTTATCTCCTGTGATAACAGGGCCGGGGGAGGTGGCAGCCCGGCGGGGGCCCTGCAGGGGATGGCCGTGGGCTGAGATACGGCAGCGATGGGGCTGCGAGCACCTGGCCGGAGCCCCTGGGTTTATCGGGGGGCAAAGCACCCTCCTGGGGACAGGGTACAAAGGTGACGGGGAAAAAGCCAGGCAGGAGCCCCCCCTGCCCCATCCCCTGTGAGCGGTAGCGTGGAGCAGCCCTGTGTCTGTGGCCCCACATCCCTGCCCCGCCACCCCCAAGCAGATGCACAGGTCATTAAATATTTTTTTCCCTTTTAATGCACTTTTATTGCTGCCTTTCCACATGCCCCTGCAGCCCCAGTTGGCGGCAGAACTGCAGGGCAGCCTGATGGGATCGGGATTTCAGCTCAGTACAGGCATCCCACCAGCATCTTGGGTGGAAAATCCGAGTTTTTGGGTGTGGGAGAGGCACGGCTCCAGCATGGAGTCAGCGGTGGCAGCCCAGCCTCTGCTTCCAGCTTGCCCAGAGCTGAGAAAAACCCAAAACCCTGCAAGAACACCCCATTTTCTGCCTGATGTGTCCATTGCCTTCTGCTCTGAGCAGGGAGCCGAGGGGCAGCAGGGCCCCAGAGCCGTGTCCCAGCCCGGGATGTGCAGGGGGGCAGCAGCACCTCCGTGTTTGTGCCCGCCCCGCTGCTGTGAGAACATTTCCCCATAAAGAAAGAGTTAAAAAATAATAATAATAAATCAGTTTGGGGAAGAGTTTGGATCCTACAAAGATTAAAGTAGCATTAATCGAACTAGAAAATCAAGTCCTGTACAGCAGCTTACAAAATTAGAAAGAAAAAGAAAGAAAATAAAAGGCTAGGTATGTGATGTGTCGGCGCGAGGGCGACGCATTCCCGTGTCCATCCTCGTCCCTCCGACCTCTCTTGGGCCAAATTCCACGGGGAGGCAGGGCCCGAGCGCCCCGTCCCACCTGCCCAGGTGCCCCTTCCTCCTTGCCAACGCCTTGTCCGTCTGTCCATCCATCCATCCGTCCATCCGCCAAGCCCCCAGGCAGCCTAGAGGTCCCTGATGCGCGCGATCAGGTCGTCCTTGTTCTTCAGCAGGAACCTCTCGCAGGCCTCGAAGGTGGCGCAGAAGTCGGAGGAGAGCCCGGCCACGTTGGTGGTGACGTAGGCCAGGTACCCCGGCGTCGCCTGGTTGTAGTAGGCCACCTGCGGGGTGCGGGAGACGGGGATTTAGGGTCGGGCACGCGGTGTGAACGGGGCAGGGCTGCGGCAGCTCACCTTGCTCGTCTCCTCCCCCTCGGGCCACACGCAGAAGCCGGAGCAGAGCGTCTCGCCCCGCGTGAAGCTGGGGCAGGCCGGGTGGGTGGGCAGCGTCACCGAGCGAAACGCCACCACGTAGGGGTCCCTGGGGAGGAGGGCAGGAGGTGAGAAAGGCCACGGGGACGGGGACAGGAGGACGGGGACACGGGGCCGCCGCTCACCCTTTGTCGCAGGGTTTCCGCCGGGACGCCAGGATGACGAAGTCCTGGGGCTTGTTCTCGTGGCTGAGCGTCTGGCTCAGCACGTGGTAGATGGCGTCGTCCTCGTCCACCTGCTGCACCAGCTCGGCGCTCCTGCGGGGCGGGAGGGCGCCGGTCACAGGACGTTCAGCCTCAAGGATATGTTTTTGGGGAAGGGGTCCCCTCGCAGCACTCACGCGTAGTGCCTGTCCCACTCGTGGCGGCGCCGCAGGTCGGAGAGCAGGGAGAAGGCCTGGCCGGCGGCGATGCGGACGGACATCTCGATGCGGAAGGACAGGAACTTGTCCTCCTCCAGCGTGTATATCCGCACCTGGGGGGCGCAGGGCAGGGCTGGGGCACACCCACGGCACGTCCCAATTTTGGGGGGCGGCTCAGGGAGCCAGGACGGGGGCCGGTACCTTCTCCTTTTCCCTGGCAAGCGCCCAGTTTGCTTTGGCTACCAGCGTCTTCAGCGCGGAGACGTTGTTGTAGCTCAGGTAAACCTGCGGCAGGGCAGCGCGTCAGGGGCTGGAGGTGCCCCAGGCAGGAGGCGGCGCTGCCCACGGGCTCCCTACCTTGTTGCTTTGGTCCCAGGGCACGGAGAGAGGCACCTCGTTCTGCTTGCAGGACACGACGTATTTCCTGCAGGAGGGGGGAACCGTTCCCCTTACGGCACGGCACAACATTGCCCGCACTCCCCAGTGCTGGGGGTGGCAGCTCCCGGCTCCCCGCTCTCCTTCCCTCCATCCCCAGGTGTTTTTTCCACTCACCGGTCCAGCCGAATCTTTTTCCTGGCGCTGGCTTCTCTGTACCTCCTCTCTCCGTCCTGACCCACAGGAAAAGCACAGCAGGGTAAGAGGAAAGGGGGCGGGAATACAGCTTTGGGGGAAAACATTCAGCAGCAAGGGGGTGAAGGGCGAAGCCCCATCCTGCTGGAGGCTAACCGAGAACCATTTTGGGGTGTCGGAGATGGACACGGAGCCCACCAGCAGCAGGAATATGGGAAATCCCTGGCACTCCCTGCCCCGAGCTGGGATGTGCTGGGTTGTTGGAAGCAGGGCAGCGAGAAATCCTGGCTTTAGGGCCCCAAACCCAGGTGCAGAACCACTGCAGGAGGCTGCAGCCGCGTTACTCCCTCACGCTGCGATTCACGCTGCGGTGGGGACAAATTTGGGGACAAAATGTGGGTTTTTCTCCTTACCCCCGGCTGGGGCACGACCATGGGCAGGGTGCGGGGCCGGCCCTCGTCGTCCAGCACCACGAAGGTCATGAAGGCGCTGTTGATGTGCCTCCTGCTGACGGACATCTCCTGGTCGTACGCCTCGGCGCAGACCCCCACCTCCATGCTGGGCAGGGGGCAGAGAAGGGGTGAGGCACAGGGGGCCGTGGGAGGGGGCCTGGGGGGGTCCTTTTGAGGGCACCCTGCTGTTTTTGAGGGACACCCACCTGTTTTTGAAGGCGTTGTTGACGATGGCTTTGAGCACCAGGCGGTCCCCGACCTGCGACGGCCCGCGGAAGTGGAACATCTCGATGGCGCGCAGCGTGGGGTGGGCATGGCACAGCCGGCTGCGGGGTGGGGGTTATCCCATGGGATCCTACACCCCCAGACCCCATACGGCCCCTTCCCAGCACAGCCAGAGCCCAGGGGATCCTGTCCGTGCCAGTGAGCTCGCCCTTCCCCACACCCCGTGTGCCCACCCCAGGCCCCATCCCCGCCACCCTGCTGGCTCCCCAGGGGTCCCCAGCACCCATCTGCAGCCCCCCCCCAGGCACCTGGCGGCGATGGTGGCCACGTTCTCCATCCAGGCCATGATCTGCCCGCCGAAGGTGTTGCCCTGGTGGTTGGCGTGTGGGGGCAGCACCAGCTCCACGCTCTCTACCCGCGTCTTCTCAGCCGGCACCACCACGCTGCCGTCCCGCGTCTCCAGCTCTGCTCAGGGGGGGCACCGGGGGGGCTCAGCGCCACGGCTGCCCCCACACCCAGCACCCCAATTCCCTCTGCTCCACCCCGGGGGGGGGACGCACGGTACCGGTGTTGCGGGGGCTGCGGGTGAGGAGGTCCTTGAGGGTGTCCTTGTGGACCAGCCGCATGCGGCGGCGCTCGGCGGCAATGCTGTGCTCGATCTTCTCCTCCTCCGTCTGCGGGGCCAGCGGCTTCAGCTTCACCTGGGCACGGGTGATGGATGGGGGTGGGCGCCCTGTGCGGGGCAGCACCCCTGCTGCAGGGGTGGGATCCCCGCTGGCCGGGCGCGGGGGCTCGCTGAGCAGCGCTTACCTTGGTGCCGGGGGGGCCCTGGGCCACGAAGGTGGCGTAAGCCTTGCAGATGCTGCAGTGCTTCCCGCTGCTCAGGTCCTCGTAGCTCACCTGGATGCCCACCTGGCGGGGGACACGGCACAAGGGACCCTGAGCCATGGGGTGAGCACCCGGGGGGTGAGCACACGGACACGGCACCGCCAACACGGGGCAGGGGGGTTGCACAGGCACCCACGGGGGTTCCTCACCCCAAATATCCCCCCATGGAAGGATGTGGGGGGGATGAATTTAAAGCAGGGCAGGCACGGGGGGAGAGGAGGGGTTTGTGCCATACGAACCTCCATGCTGGAGTTGAAGGCTCGGTTCACTTTGGCCTTGATGTTAACGACCTGCCCCACGCTGGAAAACAGAGAGAGAAGGGAAGGGGCACGGAGGTGAGTGGAGGCTCACAACCCACGGCTGCACAGCGCCGAGCGTCTCCCTGCCGAGGTGTGTGAGTGCCCGCAGGCACGGGGACACCCTGCTGAGCCCAGGGACCCCCAAACAGCCCCGTGCAAATGGGTCCCGAGGGGCTGCAGAGGTGCCCGGGGGGACCATGCACCCCCTGCCTCGCGGGCACGCACGCTCCTGCCAGAGCAAACGGCTCCTCTGTCCTCCTCCTGCCCCTGGTGTCCACAATTTTGGGGTCACGCCTGCTGGCAGCAAGCTGCTGGAGCCCTCCCGGCCCTCGGTAGGCTTCAGGGTAAACACAGAAGCAGCTGCAGCCTCATGCACGCCAGGCTGGGACCAAGCAAAAAGCAAATGCGGCTCGCTGGCAACAGCGAGAGGAAAAAGCCTTTGGTTAGTGTGTGGCCAGATGGGGAGTGCTCCTCGTCCTCTGAAAGAGAGCAGCGCTGGGAAACGAAGAGCAAAAATGAGCCCTGTTACTGCCTCCAGGAGCCTGCACCACCAAGGGCCACGTGCCCGGGCGTTAGCGGGGTTATGCCAGCAGCCGCGGGGCCGTGTCAGTGGGGTTAATGCTCCCAACTCACAGCAGCGCCGCGTTACGCCGGCCGCTCTAGGGCTGCGAACGTCCGTACCCGACACCGCTCCTCGCGCGCTGCTGCCCGGGGGGGTTTGTGTACCTCTGGCTGGTGCGGAGAGAAAGAGCGAGATACGGGGCGGTTAGGGACGGGGCAGGAACACGGGGCAGGGCTGGGGGTGCGCAGCACCCGGCGTGCATCTGGTTAGTTTTAAGCAACAGGCCCAGGAGCGGAGGAGGAGAAAAAACAGAGGCGACCTGCAGCTGCCCAGAGCACCCTCAGGCTTCACGGAGCCCCACACGGCACGGGGCGGCTCGTCCTCACCCATTAGGTGACAAAAATGGGGGGTTAGAGCTTCCTGGGGGGGATGGCGAAACCCGGGGTGAGTTTCCCAGGTTTGGCCGGGTTCGTGGGTGCTTCACCACACCGCTTGCTCGTGTCCAGAGGTGCCAAGAACCCGGCACCGTGCGTCTCAGCGCGGCCGCGGGGTGCTGAGCACAGCCAGGTGGGAAGCTCTGGGCACGGCCAGGCTCTGCCCTGCCCAGCTTCAGGAGCACGCCCCGGCCCCGGGAGCGGGCAGAAAGCAGCGCATTTACCTAATCGTGTGCTCAAAATAGATATCGTCCATCGAGGCGGTGACGCACGGGCAGCCGGCGTGCCTCTCGGCTGGAAGGAAAAACAAACGGCGTCAGCAGCCCGCAGCGGCATGCCTGGGGGTGGGGGGAGAACCCAGCTGAGGGCAGCTTTGGGGGATTTGTGAATGTTTTCTGAACGTTTTGCCCCAGGTTTGCCCCGCGGGGTGGGCGCGCTGCAGCTCCCACCACCTCGCTCTGCCTGGCTGGTGGTTTGGCGGCGGGGATGTGCAGCAGCCGATGGCAGCAGCACAAATATTTTAAAGCCACCCTGGCAGCCCAGCTTGCCCTCAGGACCACAGAACCACCCCCAGGCTGCAGAGCTGCCCCATTTTCCTGCTGCCCTGGCTCTGGCTGCACCCCGAACATGGAGAGGGAAGTGTTTTGGGGGGGAAGCAGCTGCTGCATTTGATGTGTCCCCACCAAGCCGTGTGTGCTGCAGAGCTGAGCCTCCTCCCCCTGCGTCCTGCTCCTGGCCGCTCTCATTACTCAGCTCGCTGGCACCGTGCCCGGCCCGGCTGGCGTCAGCAGCGCCGTGGGCAGTGGGGCAGGGACGGGCACGCTGCCGCCCGCACGCAGCCCCGCACCACCCAGCACCAGGACCCTGCCCTCCGGCCCCGCTCACCCCACAGGAGGACGCAACCTCTTGTCCCTTCTGCTCCCCATCTCCCCGTGCTGCTCCAAGCACCCCGCAGCAGCCCGTTTGCCTCCCCACTTTGGGTCCCAAGCTCAAACCGAGCTCTCCAAACCCCCACCTGTGGGTTTTCAGGTGCCCGGGGTGCCTTACCCGAGAGGCAGGCAGCCGTGTCGATCCACTTGAGCAGCTGCCCGGCGCTGAGCTCGCCGCGGTGGTTGGTGTGGCAGGGCAGCACCAGCTGGCTCATCTGCACCTCCGTGGGGCTGCGGCTCCCCATGGCCCCCGGCGCCTCCTCGCGCTCCCCCGGCTCCCGGCTGCACGAGGTGGAGCCCTGCGGAGGGGCGAGATGCTGGCACGGGGCTGCGGGGCGTTAGCCCGGCCTCGTTAGGATCCGGGCGTTATGGGGTGGGTGATGAACGCTGGAGTGTGGCCCTCACACGCTGCTGTTTGGTTTTCACGTCCCAAATTTTGGCTGCAAAATCTGCTGCAATAAACCCCCCCCTCCAGACACCCCTGCACAGAGGAGTGGGATGCTTCGGGCACCGGGGACACCCAGCTGCTGATCGCCAGGGAGAAACGGATAAAAATGTTCTGAATGCAACAGGGAGCAGGGCAACCAGGAGGAATTTTACAGACCTCAGCAAAAAGGAAAAAAATAAAAGAGCTCTTTGGCTGCTCCAGGCCATCCATCAGCACTGGTGCAGCGCGGGAGCTGACCCGGTCGCTTCCCCTCCCCAAAAAAATCCCCCCCCCAAGCCCACCGGCTGGGATCTCACCCCCCAGATCAGCCCCGTGCCGGCGCTGGGTTATCGGGGGAAGGCGCCTTTGTTCGGGGTGCTGTAGGGCCACGTCTGCTCCCCGGGCTCGCCCCACACAGGGCTCGGCGCAGGGCGGTTTTGGAGAGCCTGGGGTGGCCGCGGGGCCGTCGAGGATGGGGGTTTTACACCGAGTGGGCTGTGTTACACAAGGGATGAACTCAGTTAGCCCCGTGAGCAACCGAGGAGACACGAGAGAGCCGTCTGGGCGTCATCACAGCGCTTCCTTCCTCTTCATGCTCCAGCCGCGTGCCCCATTTTCAGCCCCCGCTGCCAGATCCCAGCGGCGGCGGCTCCTTTTCTCCCCTCGGCTCTCCCCCGCCGCCTTTGCAGGCGGCTCGGAGCGAAGCCTTCCCTCCCATCCCGTCTCTCAGAATAGCATTTTTTTTTTTTTTCCGCAGCCGCTCCAGCAGCAGCCCTCTGTTTCCATAGCTACTGCTCCAAGACATCCCAGGAACAGCACAAAAACCTCGGCTCGGCGGGGACGGCAGCGAAGGCGGCGAGCTGAACCCTACGGGGAAGGGCGCCCCGTCCCACGGGGACGTCGGCAGACCCCAAACTCCCCAAAAACGAGCCCCCCGGGGCTGGTTTGCGGCGTGCCAGGGCGCCCACCCGGGCAGCACGCAAGGACAGGGCTATTTCTGGAGCCGGCAGGCGCTGGGGCGCCAGCCAGCAACGAGCTCCAAAGATTTCTGCAGCGGAGTTAGCAGCAAGCCTGGCCAGAGTTTTAGGCAGAAGCCAGCACGCCGGGTTATCCCCCCCGGCCCCGCGCTGATGCTCACGGGGTCGGGTGTTACGGGGTGGGGAGCGGTGGCCACGGGGCACGGGGAGCGTGCGGGGTGCTCGGGGTGACGGGCACGGCACGCGGGGTACCTGGAGGCCATCGCAACAGAAGCTCAGGATGTCTTCAGGGACTATGCTCCCCTTGACCATTTTTAAAAGACACCTGGAAAGGAGAAGAGCGGGCTGGGGTTAAGAGAGGATCAGCGAGACAGGGGCTGGGGGCGCTGCCATAAAGGGGCTCCGGGGGCACCCCCGGCACCACCAGCGGTGGGGATATGGGGCACACACGGCACCCTAGGCACGGCTCAGCTGCTTTGCATCGCCTAAATTCCCTTTTAGCCCAAGCACGGGGGCTCAGCCCTGCTGGTGGCTCCCCGTGGGGATGCAGCAGGGCCCGGCCGGCTGTGGGGCCGTTTGATCTTGGGGCTGGGCGCTTGGTTTGGAAGGAGCCGGCTAAATCCACGAGTGGGAGCAGAGGAGCAGAGCGGCGTGGGCAGGACGGAGGCTGCTGCCAGCAGCTTGTAAACAGACAAAAGGTGACAGAGGCGCTCGGCACAGGGCTCGGCACGGGGTTTCGGCCACACCGGCTCGCCCAGGCACCAGGGATGCTCTCAGGGTGGTCCTGGCCGAACCCACGGCCACCCAGGCAGGATGTGGGAAGCCGGAGCCCAGCCCCGAACACAAAATACGAAATCCAGCAGGAGCAGAGAGGGCTCGGCCACCCTCACCCACCTGGTTCAGCTGTGTAGGGTCCGTCCCCGGCCAGCACCGCAGCAACAAGACCTGGGTGCGTGTTGGGTGCTCACAGCGGGGTGTCCCCCGTGTCCCCTGCAGCCCCACACTGACGTCCCTCCCTCCCCAGGCTGCGGGACTTAAATCCCACAAGGGCAGAGCCTGGGCTCGCACCTGCCATTCCCCAAGGGTCAGGCCCGGCGCTCGCGGCTTTGCTGGAAAGACTCCCGGCTATTTTGGGGCGCTGGACAGAGCCCAGGGGTGGTGCTGGGCCGATCCCACAGCTGGTGACACTCCGCTAATACTTTCCGCACCTCGCTGCCACGGTCACAAGACGGCCGAGGTGTCCTTGGCAGCGGGACGGGCTCACGCTGACAGCAGGGCTGCAAATGGGATGCTCCCGTCCCCGGCCACACCGCTGCTCCCGGCACAGAGCCTGGGGGCACGCCGAGCCCTGCTGCCCGCCAAGGGCTCCGGGGGTGGCCCCGAGCCACCCCACAGCAGCGGTGCCCAACGCCAGGAACACGCGGCTCACCGTGCCTTGGAAACCCAAAGCTGCTCCTGGCCCCGGTGGCACCCTTCGTGTCACCTTGCTCGCTCCAGCGTTAGCAGGAAGGGGAGAGAAAAATAAGAGAGCCACCTGCTTTGCATCCCCCGGCTGTCCTCACGATCTCCTGTCTTACCCTGATGTCAGATGGGGAAGGCTGTGGGGTGATGTGGAGCTCACCACGGCATCGCCCCGGCCGTGGTGCTCCCCCTCTGTCACCCCTCGAGCGACCCGCTTCTACCCCAAAATAAAGTTTGCCTTGGGAAGAAAAAAACTCTGAGCACAATATTGCCCCTGCCTCCTGCCACGCTCAATTCCTGTGTCGCCGAAGATGGGGGAGAGGCATAGAGAGATGCGAACGGCCCCACTAATTTGGGGTTTGGGGATGGGGAGAGGGGGGTGCCAAGCGCTGTGTGTCCACAAAGCCAGTCGGACTTGAATAGCAGGGCAAAATAGCAGGGAGCAGTTCATAGTAGGGAAAATGGGGATGTAAAATGGGGATGTTTGGTCATTTTCCCTTTGCACAGAGGTCCCCCAGTCCCTGAGCCCCCAGCAGCACGGATGAGCCACCCCCAAACAGTTGGGGGGTCCCCAGTGCTGGCCCTTTGGGGTCTGGGCAGGGCAGGATGCACACGATGGACCCTTCTGTCCTCCACCCAGCTCAGAAACATCTCCCCCAGCTCCTGGCCGAGATATCCCTCATCCACCTTCACTCTCCCACCTCCCCTCCATCCCCATGGTGCCCCCTTACCCCTTTCTGGGACCACTTAGAGAAAAGGGGGGGAAGGAAGGTGGCGACACGAGTTCTTGGGGCGGGGGGTGGATTATCGGTGTGTAATTGAACAATATCCATGGTAACGAGCAAATCTGCACGCGGTAAAAAAAAATTAACCTGACCTACTTAGGGAAATCCTGCCGCCTCGACCGGGCAGCGAGGGCCCCGTGCCGGAGAGGTGAGCTCCCGGCACCCTGCGGGAGCTTTTTTGGGACCTCACGTCACGCCTTCCCCAGGGGTTTCGTGGAGCAAAGTGAGGCGGCGGGCCAGGAAAATGCAACCTGAGGGCCACGCACGGTGGGGGCTCTGCTCCGCTCCCAGGCCTGTGTCCGCAGCCCCCAGCCCCGTCCCTGCCCGTCCCCAGCCGTGGGGGCAATGGGGCCTGCAGCTGCCCCAGCAGGGAGCCAAAGTCCCCCGGGTGCTTTGCAGGGGGACAAAGGTTCCCCAGCGCCACTGCCGCCAGCCCCAGGAGGGAGCAGAGCTGTGCCTGAACCCTTGTGGGTGCCGCCAACACGGCTGGGGACAAATGGCACGGGTGTGGGGACACCCGACAGCACCGCCCGGCATGGGGCTCCCCTGCTCCCCATGGCCCAGGACCACCATGGTTTTGGGACCGCCATGGTTTTGGGACCACCACAGTTGGGACCACCACACTCAAGAGCACCACAGTGTCATGCAGCCACCCTATCCGTCCCCCCACGCTGCCCAAACCATCCCCACAGCAGCCCCATGCCCCGTGCATCCCCTGGGCAAGCAGGGCAAGGAGGGATTTCGCCCCCAGGCCCTCTCCCCGCAGCGCTGGCACCGCAGGCACTGCTCCAACACCCGCCGTGGAAACTCCTCGGAGCGGCACAGGGCGCCTCGTCCCGCTCCTGTGCCACCGTCCCTCGTGTCCCCGTCACCCCCCGCGGGTCCCCTCTGCCCTCACCTCAGCCAGAAGAAGCTGAGCATTTGCAGCGCGGTGGAGCGGCGCGAGGAGGAAGAGGAAGACGAGGAGGAGGAGAAAGGAGGAGGAGAGCGAGGAGGAGGAGGAGGAGGAGGAGGAGGAGGAGAGGCGTCCGGACACCTGCGTGCGGTGCCGGGCTCAGCCAGCACCCGGGGTGCGGGTGTCGAGGCCAGTTCTACGCTGCCCTTGGGACGCAGCCAGCGCACACCCACCGCTTCCTTTTAAATAAGGGCTCAACTTTTCTTAAGGTAGCGCTTTGCAAAGATTCCCTACCCAGGGAGCTCTCAGGGATTGCCGTGGCACCCGTCTCCCCGTGCCCTCCAGTCCCGGCGGCACCTGGACGGGCTCCTGCCCGCTGCCTTTCCCCGGAGCTTCTCCTGATTTCCTCGGCCAGCTCCCTGGCCCCGCTGCATTTGAGGCAGATCTGGCCGGGATCATAAAAAAAAAAAAAAAAAAAAGTTTCCAGAAAGAAGGAAAGAAAATGCAAATTGCCGTGTGGCTGCGGGAGCCGTGCAGCCTGTCAGCTTTTCGGGAGGTGTTGTTGTGTTTGCATTTTATTTACACGCCTCGATAAGCGAACCTTTGGCCACCAGCGCACACGGGTGCAATCAAAGCCCCTCACAGGCACACCCAGCACTGGAAAGCCAGCGGTGATATAATTAAACAAATAATTAAACAAACTCAACGGGAAACAAGGCCTCGCTTTGTTTGGTCAATAAAATCATCAGGTTTTGGAGGGGCCAGCCCGGGGACAGCACGGGTGGGCAGCACCCAGACCTGATGCTGTGGGATGCGGTGGGGCCAAATTGAGGCTGGAGGTGGGAAGTGCTGGAGGGTGCTGCAGACACTTCAGGTGCTCGACTTGTGCTCCTGACAAAAGTTTTGAGGCTGGGCTCGGGTTTTTTCCAGTGCAATTAGAACAGTGCCATAATTAGGGCCTGTGGCAGCCGCACCAACTGGGTCCCTACTTTGGCTCCCACCTCCGAGCCCGCACGGGTGCGAGCTTCTCGCTCCCCGTCCACCACCCCCTGCCCATCTGCCACAGCTCACGGAGCGGGTAATTAGCTAAATGAATTAATTGACATCCATACGTGTAATTAGCACACGGTTGCGAGGAGCTATTCTCCTTGGGACGGCTGAAATTTCTCAGGGACTGGGGTTAAAGGACTGCGCAGCCCCGCAGAGCAACGAGGGACGGTCCCCATGAAGCCAGCAGAGGGGCAGGAGGGGCTGGGGAGGCTGCGGGTGAAACCAGGGATCCTCAGCCCAGCCCCGTATTGGGCAGCGATTATTAATTACACCCTTAATTACTCCAGAGCAATAAAAAAAAAAGCTGACCTATTTGCTTCGGTGCTGCTCGGAGCACTTTGAGCGAGGGCTGCGGCCGCTCACATCCTCCCCACGAGGCCGGCCATGAGGCCTGCCCTGAGGGAGGCCGGTGCAGTCCTATTTGGGCCCCATGGGACCAACCCTGCCCCCGGAGCAATTTTGGGGCCCCTGGAGCAATTTTGGGGCCCCCAGAGCAATTTTGGGGCTGGGGGGAGTGCACTGAGCACACCGACAGGCTGCGGCACGCACCCGCGCTATCGGCGGCGAGATCTTGGGCAGCGCGGCGCCTCGTGGCGCGCTTTGCCTTAATGGTTAATTAACGCGGTGGCTTTGCCTTAATGGTTAATTAAGGCGCTGGGGCTGTTCCCACGCCTCAGCACGGCCCCGGGGGGCAGCGGGGGGAGGCTCCGTTAGCTCTGCCCCCAGCCCCGGGGCTCGTGGGTGCCAGTGGGGAGGAGGGAGAGCGGCACGAGGGGTGTCCCTGTGGAACGGTCTCGTTATAGGAAGGGGGGATAGGGCGGTGGGTGAGGGGGTCTGAGCCCCGGGTCACCCCGCTGTGGTGGTCTGGTGGGATATGGTGGCTGCAGCAGGGCTGGGGTGGGATGGGTGGGGTGGTGGGGTGGAACCCTAGAATCCCAGAACCATTAGGGTTGGAAATCCTACATCATTGGGTCCAACCATCCCCTGCCACCAATGTCACCACCAAACCCTGTCCCCAAGCACCACATCCAGCTCTCCTTGAACACCCCCAGGGATGGTGGCACCACCACCTCCCTGGGCAACCCGTCCCAGTGCCTGGCCGCATTTTGTGAGGAGAATCATCTCCGAATTCCCACCCTGAGCCTCCCTGGCAGCAACATGAGGCCGTTGCCTGCAGGATGGGGCGTGGGGACGGGGCTGTGGTGGCGGTGGGCTGTGGGGACGGGCTGTGGGGACGGTGTGAGGTGGGGATGGGCCGTGCTATGGGACACAGTGACGTGGTGTGGTGTGTTGTGGTGCGGACACACTGACAGGGCCTCACAGCCCTCACAGAGCCCTCACGGCCCCCTCAGGGCTCCCTCAGGGCTCCCTCACGCAGCGCCCGCCCCGCCCGGGGCCGCCAGGGGCCGCCATTGCCCCGAGCTCCCGCTCCCCCCCCCCCCCCCCCCCGCCGCCATCTTGTTGCGGGGGGGGGGGCGCTGTGAGGCACCCGCGGGCCCCGGCGGGGGCGGGGCGGGGCGGGCTCGCGGCCAATCAGCGCGCGGCGGTTTCAAGAGGCCCCTTCCGCGTCCCGCTAGGCCACGCCCCCTCCGCGCTTAGCCACGCCCCCTCCCTCCCCCCCCTCCCGTCACGATCCGCCCCCGGGGGAGCGAGGAAGGCCCGGAACGGATCGGGACGGGACGGGACGGGACTGGGATGGGCGGATGGGAAAGCCCGGAACGGATTCGCACGGAACGGACTAGGCCTGGAATGGAATGGACTGGGCTGCAATGGGCCCACCCGGCCCCAAACCGGCCCGATTTGGGCCAAAACCGGCCCGATTCGGCTCAAAACCGGCTCGGCACGGCTCGGCTACCCGTAGCAGGGATGTTTCCCCGCCAACGGCCCCAACCGATGCGGCCGCTGGGGTAAACAGGAAGCCCGCACCGCAAGGCTGCACCGCGGCTCCCTTGGGAACGGAAAATAAGAGCCCGTGAGGGGAAAAAAATAAGCCCTGAGCCCAAAACAATAACCTCTGAACCTCAAAAATAATCCCTGAGCCCCCCCAAAATAACCTCTGAACCCATAAAATAACCCCTGAGCACAAAAAACAAACCCTGAACCCCACAAATAACCCCTGAACCTACCACAAAAAAAATTAACATGATCCCCCACAAAAAAAAAAAAAAGTGAACCCAAAAAAACAACACATGGACCCCCCAAAATAACCCCTGAATCCAAAAAAATAACCTCTGATCCCAAAGAATCAACCCATGGACCCCAAAAAAAGAACCCACGAATTCTAAAAAATAACCTCCGGTCCCAAAAAAGAACCCGTGAACCCCCAAAAATAACCCTTGAATCCAAGAAAATAACCCTTGAACCCAAAAAAATAACCCCCTCCCAACATGTAACCCTAAAAAAAATAACCCATGAACCCCCTCCAAGAAACATGACCCCCTTCAAAATAACCCATGGACTCCCCAAAAATACTCCATGGAATGAAAAAAATAACCCATGAAGCCCGCAAAAAACAATGAACCCCCGAAAAATAACCCATGGAGCCCCAAAATACCCCATGGAATGAAAAAAAATGACCCATGAGCCCCCCAAAAAACAATGAACCCCCCCAAAATAACCCATGAACCCTATAAAAATAACCCATGGACCCCTAAAATACCCCATGGAATGAAGGAAATGACCCATGAGCCCCCCAAAATAACCCATAAGCCCCCCCCAAAAAAACAAATCCCCCCAGAAGGGGAGATGGGAGGGGATGTGGGTGCTGGTGCCCCATTTTTTGGGTGCTGGCACTCGTGTGACCACCACCCACGCGGCGAGGAGCTGTTGGAGGACGCGGGTGCCCTCCTGTCCCGGGGGGCCTCGCCGGGCCCCGTGTGCCCCGAGCAGCTCGGCGACCCCACAAACAACAGGGACGGAGGGCTGGGCCCCGGCGGGGCCGGAGGCAATAAAACGCAGGGAATGATGCAGCAAAACAGGCCGGGGCCGTGTGGCGAGATAAATCATCCATGGAGGCACCGCGGAGGAGGAGGAGGAGGAGGAGGAGGAGTAGGAGGAGGAGGAGGAGGATTTCTGCACCAGGAGTGATAAAATGGCTGTCCCCCAAATGGATGGGGTTTATCGGGGAATAACCCCCGGAGGTGAAGCGGCCGTTGAGCCGGGGAGGAGCGAGGATAACGCGCACGGGGAGCCCAGCGCCAGCCCCGGGGGGCAGCGGGGATGTGCCCTGTGGTGCCCTTTTCCCCCATGTCCCCAATTTTGGGGTGGCGCAACCCCAAATGGTGCAAATGGGGCCGAGCCCATGAGAAGAGGATAACGGGTAGAGAAACCAGGCGAGGTCGGCGTGCTGGTAGGTGCGAGGGCTTGCAGAAACCCAATTGCTTCTTCAGTTAACCAGCTTGGGGAGAATGAAGCTGAAGTGTGAAAAATGAAAGTGAAAAGATAGGAACCAACCCACGGCTATTTATTCTAAAAATACTGACCTAAATACTTAAGCGCACATATAAAAGTAGTTGTCTTTTCTGATTTCCTTTACGGACTCTCCTGTTTCGGCTGTTATTTCGCTCAGAAACCAGAGGGTCGGGATTCTTGGGGGCACCCTTTGCGCTCTCGAGGAGTTTAATGCGTGCTCAGAGCCCCTCCAGGAGCCCAGCTTTGAGGTTTGGCCGTGCCGATGCTGCTGGAGGGTTGAGGTGCTCCGAGCGGCTCCCGTGCCACGGCTCCTCGTTTCGGCGAAGGCAGAGGCTGCGAGCACCAAAAACGAGTGGGAGGAAGCAGCAGGAGGCTGGAGAGGTGCCCGACACACGCAGCACCCCGCTCACAGCCCCAACAGCCCTCTGAGGAGCCGCAGGGGCGAGTTTCGGTGCCAAAAACCCCGCTCCCTACACGGCGGAGTTGTCACCTCGGGGACACAGCCCCTGGCTCGCTGCACCCAAAAACCAGCGGCTGTTTGCCTAAAAACGAAGGTGCTGAAATAAAAATACGCCCGGCAACGCTGAAGGGATGCTCCTGGCCCCAAAATGAGCGCCGCGGGCAGCTCCTATCAGGCGGGGACACATGGAAGGGGCAGCTGATAAGGGACTCAGCTGGTGGGAGAGGTGGGAGCGATACGGCCCGGAGCGGCGGCCGCGGGGAGCGAGGAGCAGGGCTGGGGAAATGAAAGGTGCCAGGAATAGCTAAAAACCCACACTTCTGGGTCTCCGGCTCTGGGCTGGAGCTACTCGCCCGAGCGCTGGTTTGAGCAGGGAGGGGGTGTTTAATTGCAAAACGTCCCTCGGGGGGAGATGCAGGCCTTCCACGTGTGTTCATCTCGCCTGCTAAGCCCCAGCAGTGCCAGCTCCAGGAGCACCAGGGGAAGCCCAGCATGGCCCCGGGGACAGCAGCTCCCGTGTGCCGTGTCCCACCCCACTGCTCTGCCCTCTGTAGGGCCGCTGCGTGGGGCGAGCCAAGCGCAGGTATCGCGGGTCCAGGACCGAAGGCGCCGGGCAGGAGCTGCTGGGGGAGCGCTGCTGCGCTTCCCATTCACAGCCCAGCTATTTTGCAATACCTTCGCCGTGACGTTCCCACGTAGACAAGCCTAAGCTAGCATAGATAATGAAATGGGTTAAAGGAGACGGGAGGAGGGAGAGGAGAGGAGCCAGCAGCTCGTAGTAAATCAGGGAGAGAGCAGGGTTGCTTTATATTCAAGGACTCAGTGGCAGGACGAGTTTGGTTTATGCCGAGAGGCTCCGGGTTGCCAGGACGAGGAGCAGCCCTGGAAGCCAGAAGCGGCCCTATGGCAGGGCTGCCCACCTGGCTGCGTGTCCATCGCACCCATCCCGCTCCTCGCCTTCCCCAAGTGCCTGCTCCACGCGTGCCACCAGCACTAAGACCAGCAAAAGGCACCCGGCTCACCTGCGAGGCTCACAGGGGTGAAGTGGGTGGCGGGGGGACCCCAAAAGAGCCCCCAAAAGAGCCCCCAGGCAGTGGGGTCTGCGCCAGGGGAAGGGGAAGGTGAAGGTGAAGGCAGCCCCAGCAGCTCCTGGACACCAGGGGACCTGCACGCAGATGCTCCCCCACCTTTGGCACGGGTTTCGATGCAGTCCAAACAAGCTAATTAAATGCTGCTCGGCTTAATCAGAGCCATCGAACAGCAGTCAGAAGAAATTAATCCCGCCTTGTATTAAGATGCTGCTCGGAGCCGCGTTTTGGCACCTCGTCCCCGCTTCTCATCTTCTGGGGAAGGAAGAAGGGACATCTGCGGGGAAGAGCGAGGGCGCAGCAGATGGCAGCGGGGATGATTCAGGGCCTCGAGGAAGGAGCTGCGACTCCAGCGGCGTCCCTGGGGAGGGGACGACGAGGACGAGACACCTCGCCCTGCATCCCCCAGCCTCCCCGCCCCGCTCCCGGCCATGACTGCAGGGCCGCCGGGCGGGCAGGGATCCCCAAAAGACGATTAAATCGCATGGCGGCGGCGAGGCCGCGCTTCCCACAGCGTCTCCCTCCCGAACCTGCCCGTCCTGCTGCTCATCCCTGCCCACGGGGATCCCACAGCAGCCCTGGCCCGGCCTCCAGCAGCTCCCGGCGTGGTCGCTGCCTTCCCCTTGGGGTGCCTTCATCCCCCCGGGGCAGCTGGCAGCATTTTCTCCTGCCTTCGGGGCTGTTTCGCTGGGTGATGTGGGGAGGGAGGCACCCCGGGCTGTGAGCCGGCAGACGGGCGGTTAAAGGCATCATCAGGCTCTTGGTTTGGGGTTTTAGCCATTTCTGATGCCTTCATCACGGCCATCCAAGGAAAAATCCCAACAGAGAGAGGCACGGGGTGAGGAATTCGGCCCACAGGCTGCCCTCAAAGCCTTGGGAGTGCTCGGTGCCACCCCCCGTGACCCGGCTAGACAGAGCAGCCGGCTGCGGGTGTTGGGATTTCTTTATTTTTGAATTTTCCTGTCATAACTTGCGTTAAAACTTCGCAGAGCCGCTTAATTGTGCTCTGCGGTGGCGAAGATATGAAATTCGTCTCCCTTCTGATCCTCGGCGAGGCCGGCCCAAAGCGCCGGCTTGCCATCTGCCCCGATCCCCTCACCATGGGGTCACGGCAGATGTGGGGCCGGGGCCAGAGGACGAATTCACACGGGACCGGGGTCCCCACCCTCGTCCCGGCGTCGTGCTCTGCGTTTCCCCGCGCCAGGGAGGCGATATTTAGGATTTTCTCTTGGTGCCACTCGTGGGGAGGCTTCCGATCGGCCGCGCTTCTCCATCTCCCCTAGCAACAGCCGAGATGGGTTCAAGGGGAATAAATCGGGTGAACGGGACTGGATGTGGAGCAGCCACAGCTGATGGAGGGTGTTGTATTTAACGGGGATGTTTAGTAAATATTTCCTGTTTGCCATCATTACCCTGGGGGGTCACACTTGGCTCACAGCCCCCCAGCAGGCCCCTCGTTATTTCCAACCCTGCCAGAACGCCACAGGAGCAGCAGGAGGACACAAAACCTGGGGTTTTTCTGTGCCCTGCAGTCCCTGACACCTTCTGGAGTCCTCTGCCACCCCGCCAAGCTCCAGGCAGCCTCTCCACAGAGCACCCACGGAGCCAGGTTGTGCTCGCTCCTTGCAGCCCGGCTCTCAGACAACCCCAAACCCCAATAGCTCGGGACCTACCGCAGCGCACACCGAGCTTTTCTCTCGGCACCCGAGCGAGTTGGGCCCTGCTCGGGCAGGTCCCCATGGCCGTGGGGATTCCCACGGGCGCCGTGGCGCTGGAGGAGTTCCTCCTACGCCCGGCGGCTCCCCGATCCCAAAACCCGGCCAGCCCCACAGGAGGCTCGCGGGGCTGCCTGAACCCTGCTCGCGCCTCCTCAGCGCCTCAGCCCCTGCAGGACCAGGCTGGATTTGAACAACCGGTGTTTGTTAAATTCGGTTTGAATAATTGGTGTTTGTTAAACATGAATTTAACTGTGACAGGGACACGGCTGTGACAGGAGCCGTGGTTATGGGGTCGCAGCCCCACAGCACCCAGACCCCCCCCCAAACAGCCCCTCAGGCGGCATTTAACACCCCACAACACCACACACTCTCCATTTTACTCCATTTTATTGAATTTTATTCATTTTTATTCCGTTTTACTCCATTTTTACTCCATCTTTATTGTGTTTTTTCTATTTTTTACCACACGCAACCAGCGGGGCCCGCCCGCGCCAGCCTCGCCCCGTCACCAAACGGCCGAAACCCGGCAAAGTTTCGCAGCGGGGCGAGGACCCGCCCGGCCCCTCACCGCCCCTCACGGCTCCCCCTCAGCCGCGGGCCGGCCCCAGCGGGCGGGCGGCGCCGTTACCGGCACCGGGGCTCCCCCCGCAGCCCCCCCCCCACCCCCGGGGGGCTCCCAGCCGAGCAGCCGCGGCCCTGAGGCAGCGGCCGCCTCCCCCCCCCCTTCTCCCTCCCCTCAGCGCCCGGCGGGCGGTTTCAAGGCCCCCCTCCCTCTATCCCCCCCCCTCCCCCCCCCTTCGGCGCTGACCAATCAGCGCGCGGGATGCGCGGCGGCCCCGCGCCTTAAAGGGCCAGCTCCCCTCCGAGCCCAACCGGCCGCGGTAAAGGGGGCAGCGGGGCGGCGCTAGGACCCAGCGCGGCGCCGCGCTCCCCCCCCCCTCCTCCCTCCCTCCGCGGGAGGCCGCGCGCGGGCGGGGGGGGTGGGCGCGAGCTTGGGGGCGTGGCCACGCTCTGAGTGGGCGTGGCCACGGCTCGCCCCGCCCCTTCCTGCCGGCGATTGGCCGAGCCGCCTGTCAGTCGGCGGGTGGGCGGCGCACGGTGCGGCCACGTTCGGCTGCGCGGCGGCGGAGCGGAGCGGAGCGGGGAGGCAGCGGCGGGGCCATGGGGGCGCGGCGGGGGCCGGCGCTCTGACAGCCCCGGGGGCGGCCAGCGGAGGAGCGGGCACAGCGAGGGGACCGGCGGCAGGAGCAGGAGGAGAAGAGGAGGAGGAGGAGGAGGAGGAGGAGGAAGGCGAGGAGGGCGGCGGCGGCCCCCGCAGCTCCGCGCCCAACATGTTCGCCAAGGGGAAGGGCTCGGCCGTGCCCTCGGACGGGCAGGCGCGGGAGAAGTAAGCGGGGTGCGGGAGGAGGAGGATGGGGAAGGAATTAAAGGGGGGGGGTGCAGGGGGCGCTGCCCGGCTCCGGCCGCGGCTTTGTGCGGGGCGGCGGCTGCTGGAGGTGGTGGCGGTGCTGGGGGGGGGGGTGGTGCCGGTGCTGCCCGCCCCCTGCCCACGCTGCCGCTGCTGGGCTCTTGCAGGCTGGCCCTGTACGTCTACGAGTACCTGCTGCACGTCGGCGCCCAGAAGTCGGCGCAGACCTTCCTGTCCGAGGTGAGCCCCCCCGCCGCCCTTTGTGCTCCGCCGCCCGGCCTCCATCTTGTGCGGGCGGCGGCCCCGGGGGTATGTGTGGGGGGGGAGCCCTGTGTGGGTATCCCTGCCTACAACCCCCTCCCCGGGTCCTTTTTTTTTTCCCCTTTTCCCAACCCTCGGCCTCTCGCTTCCCCCCCCTCCTGCAGATCCGGTGGGAGAAGAACATCACGCTGGGCGAGCCCCCCGGCTTCCTGCACTCCTGGTGGTGGTAAGTGCACCCCCCCGGCCCCCACGGGGTCCCTGTGGTTTATAGGGGGGGGTTGGCTCCTGGGGAGCAAGGGGGTGGCAGCCCCCGGGGGATGGGGAGCATGGTTAAGGGGGCTGGGGGAGCAACCCTGCAGCTGGTTCCCACCCGGTGCCTTACCCACGCGGGGTCCCACAAGGTTTGGTGCACCCCCAAAACCACCAGGGGTTGGTTTCGGGGTGCTGGGTCCCCCCGCCGGGCTGGGGGATGCTCAGCGAGCGCACCGGGCAGTTGCCGGAGGCGTCGGCGGTAACCGGAGCTTTTTGTGCCGTGCAGCGTGTTTTGGGACCTTTACTGTGCAGCTCCCGAAAGGCGAGACACTTGCGAACATTCAAGTGAAGCCAAAGCCTTTCATGACTATGTGAGTAACAAGTTTCTAATCCTCGCGGTAATTACAGAGTTGGGGAGCTCGGGCTCCTTCGGCGCGCCGAGAGCGAACGTAACCAACTGGCAAAAGCGTGTTTTTAACCAACAGCCTCCTGGTTTGACTGAGCAGCATTTCATAATGTTGCAATTATGTAAATGAGCCCCGATACTTATCTTAAGCACTTAGAGGCATTCGGGCTCCTGGCAGAAGGGAGCAGTTTTTTTTTTGCATGGCAGTGGACAACAAAGCGTTTGCCGTGGCGGATCGATGGCGATGGGTGTCGTGGCGTGTGGGCAGGCGCTGGGTCGCAGCTGGGAGGCGGGGAGGGAAGGGGGGGATTCCCCCAAATGCCATCCCCCAGTTTTCAGCCTCCCAAAACCTCGCCGGCTTTGGCAAGGCTCGGGGCTGCCTTGGCTGGCTGGGGATCCTCCCTCAGGAGGAGGCAGCGTGGAGGTAGGCGCGAGCTGCTGGCGGTGGTGCAGACCTGCCCTCTTCCCTCTGCGGTCGGTGCTGGGTTGTTTTGTTTTTTTTTTGCCTGTTGGTGCTGCGGGCTTCTGGTCCTTGTGCAAAACGTGGAGCAGGATGCTTGGAGGAGCCCCAGCTGTGGTGCTGCTGCTGGACCTGCTTTGCCACGAGTCCGCTTGGTGTGGAGCAAACCTTAGAGGTGCCCCAGCTCGCTGCTCACCAGCCTGGTGGCTCTGGAGCCCCTGTTCCAACACTGCCCTAGGTGTGCAGCTCCTCGGGTGCCTGGTGGCAGCAGACTGTGGCTTGTCCTCTGCAGAGGGCTTGCTGGAAGCCAGCAGATGCTCCTCCTCGCTTGGGATGCTCGGGGCCAAGGTGTTGCGCTCCCAAAAGCGTCCTCGTCCCGTGGGCATGGAGCTTGTTGGCGCTGGCTGTGGTGGGAGCGGGGTGGGCTGCCCGCTCCCGTCCTGCTGAAGTCACCCAGATCTGCAGCGCTGATCTGCAGCGGGGAGGAATTTGAATCAAAGGATTAGTCACCTGGCTGTGGGCTTGGACTGGAGTCAAGCGAGTTGAAATGGTGTAGCAGGAGCTGTTTTTGTCTGCTCCTGGGAGCCTATGGTATGGAAACCATTTTTCCTCCCTTCCCCGCTCTCTCGTTGCCTCGACATGCCTGGGTTGAGCTGCTGGGAGATGCGCGAGGTTGGCTGGGAGCAGAGCCCTGCAGCCTGTCCCTTCCCCTCGAGGCGCCCAGGATGTGGTGGCGTAGCCGAGCCCACGTGGGGCCGGGTGGCTTGGTTGTCCCCCGGGGGAGCTGCTCCTGGTCTGTGCTGGGCATTTGTCCGTCTGTCTGTCCGTCGCGTGGCCATCCCCCACTGCCCAGCCCCTGGCTGCGCCGTGCCGCTTCCTGCGTAGCTGGTTTGTATTTACTGGGTCAGGTTAAAGCTCTGAACTCCTGAACCGAGGGTGAGAGCGAGCTGACAGCCCGGGGTTTGTCAGCAAATCCATCAGGGCTGCTCAGTCCTCTGCTGAGTGCTGCCTGCCGCCTGCTCCTCGCGGTTTTGGGGCCGAATCCTGCTGCTTTGGGGCCTGGTTGGGCGGGGAGGCAAACCCAGACCTTCAGGTAAGGAGATCCCCAGGTAAAGATGCCATCAGCAGCTAGGGCATGGTAATGCTACGTTCGCAGCAGCCTTCTAATAATATCTGAGGATTTAGCGTGTTTAGAGAAATTAATCTTTTTCAGCTCGGTTATAATTCCAACAATGGGCACGAGCGCATTAGGTGATGCGCGTAAACTTCCTTAATGCACGGTGCTGTGAGCTTACAGGGCAGAGACACAATCCTGGTTGGTTTTAATTCTCACTGTAAGGCAGTTCTGCAACAGCCCCAAGTGCTCTGCCTCTTGGGTTTCGCTGTGAAGACTGGGAGGGAGAGGGAGATTTTCAGCCCTCTGTTGGCTTCCCTGCACCAGTTTTTGTCCTGGTGGGCCCGTTTTGGCCCTAAAACGGGTGCTTGTGTTTGGCTGGGGATGCTCGCGGCGCTTTCCGAGTGTACTTTGCAGGGCAGGGACCTGCCGGGCTAAAACTTAAATATTGACCGAGGAGAGGAACCGGCTGATAAACGCGTGTGAATAGCTCCTTGTTTTTTGGGTGCCGGCTCCTGGGACCGCAGGGCCGAGCCCCGCACCCGGGCGCATCCCGTGCGGGGTTGGGGAGCGCCCCAGCAGCCTCCCCACGCCTCCTGCGAGCCCCGGGCTGGGTGGACCGGTGAGTAATTTCATCTCTTGGTTGCGGTTAAAAATATCCCGATCTAGGCCTTGCCCCAGATTCGGAGGAGGTGCTGTTGAAACGTGGCCAAGCCCAGCGCTGGCTGCGCCGCGGTCGCCCCTGTGCGCGTGGAGCGTGGCTTTTGCTACCCAAAAAGTGATGTGGTGGCTCTGTCCCCGTGGGCATGAGGCAGAGGGGGTGCCCCGAAGCTCCGGCTCCCCAAAAAAAGCCCTGGGGGAGCCGGGGGGCACGGGGAGCCCCGGTTTGGAGAGCTACAGGCTGTGGGAGCGGTGCTTCGTTAGCGGAGTGTAACCGTGGGATCTGCCTGCTGTGTGATTTCCAGCTCGTTTCCCACTGTAGGAGAACTGTTGGGAGCAGCAGGACAGATTTCCAATCTCCCCCTCCGGTTTTTAATATTTAATTCTTTTGGGGAGGAAAAACCAACAGGCAAACCAAGGCTCGCCCTCTCCTTTGGGGCCGCTCGTTGGCTGCTGTAGGCTCTTGCTGTGGCCGAGGAGTTTCCCTTTCCCTTTTTCCTCCCCAGGCGGGCCGTCAGGCTGCTGGGATGCTGCGTAGGGACGGTGGCTACTGGGAGAGTTGTTTTGGGATCGGGTCTGTGCAGGCAGAAGGGACACCGTGGTGATTTTGTCCCCAGTTATCGAGGTGTGTTGGTAGGGTCCCACCAGTCAGCATCTTCCACTTGTACCAGAGAAGTTAAAACGCTCCAGGTCCCTACTGCTCCCCACCCAACTTTAAGGGCTGCTTTACGGGCTGTCCTTGACCCGCAGCAATTTGATTTAGGGTTACCTTTATCGCATTTATCCCATCCTTCCCCAAGCGGGCAGCTTTCTGCTCCCACCCTCGAGCCCCTGGAGCTGCTGAGGGAGGTGCTCGGGGGGCGTCCAGCCCAGCTCTGCCTCCCCACCCTCGGGCAGCGTGGTGCCGGCCTTACGGGGGATTTCAGCCCCCGTGTTGTCGGGGAATTGGCCGCTGGCTGGTTGCAGCGCAGCCTTTCAACACGGGGAAAGCCAATACAATTTGAGTTAGCGGTGATGACTGCCAGTTTAAATACCGCAGTGAATTTCTGTCAAAGAGCTAATACGCAGAAAGGGGAATTGCAGCAAACTTGATCACCAGAACCACTTCAGTCGATTTTGGCCTCCAGCTACAGAAAATGAACTTAAATCTAGTTGACTGTTGCTACAGACTTTTTGTGGGATTGCTCTGCCGGCGCGGGGCTGGGAGGAGGAGAGGAGGAGCAGAGCGGTGCCAGGGCCTCCTGCTTCCCCCCGCTCCCCCCCAGGAGAACCCGCACCCGAAAGATTTACGCAGCGGCGGCTTCGGATTGCTCTCGGGCATGCCTTGTGCTTGTTAGAGCAGAGCATTGATTTATTTTATTTTTTAACCTCAGGAAACCGAGGCAGCTCTTCCTATAGAACTTTTCCTGTCTGGAGGGATGCTCTGGCACAGCAGCGGGGTGGCTGCAGCTGGGGAGGAGGCCCCGAAGTGATGGGGAGCTCGGTGGCAGCGCCTGGCTGGGGAACAGCCAGGGCTCCTCCTCCTCTTTTTTATTATTTATTTTTTTTTCCCCAGCATCTGGAACTTTTCCTGTAGGATTCGGATCTCAGCGAGCAGGTTTCCCAAGTCGGGAAACCTCCCAGGGCCGGGATGGCCACCAGGGAGGATGCTGCTGGGGGTGTCCTCTGGGGATAGGGCCCCGAACCCAGCCTCACGGGGCTGGAGGAGCCTTCCAGCTGCGCTCGGGAGGTGATGCACACAAAAGGCTGGTCCCGTTGGAGCTGTTTGCCAGCCCCTCTCTGCCTCTGGCGCTGTCCCCAGGCTGTGGGGAAGCTTCCTCCTTTTGTCACAGCACGTTGTGCCCTATATACAGGTAGGGGGGTTGGTGTGGGGTCACCAACCCAGCCCAGGCTGTCTGCCTGCTCCAGGAGCACCAAACTGGTGCCCCGAGCACCTGGGGCTTTTTACGTGCTTGAGCAGTGCAGTGAGGCTGATTTTAAAGGTATTTGGGGCCAGACCTGGTGCGGTGCAGGGCTGTGGGGTGGGCACGGCTCTTTTGGGGCCCTGCCTGCCCCCGCAGGGCTCCAGCGATGCTCCGGCGCCTCATGGCACAGCTGGGCCCTCTCCAGCCCCGCTCTGCAGGGACAGGGATCCCCACAGGTAACCGGAGAGAGGAGTTTCCTCCCGCAGTGGCAGGCTGCCAGGAGCAGCTGCAAAACTCCAAATCGCTTCTTAGAAAAAAAAAAAAAAAAGGGGGGAAAAAGAGAGAAATTCCCTCTCCCAGCAGCGGGCTGGGTTCAGCCTCCCCTCCTTCTCCAGGGACAGGTACGGGTTTGCCCCGCTGCGTGCGAGCACCCCTGCCCACCCTGCCTGTCCCGGAGCTCTGCGCAGAGCTGGATTCTTCTTTATTTTCATTTTTTCGACCCATCTCAGCGGTCGGTGCGGGGCAACCTCCACTTTTTGCACTCTCCGTGGCACGGGGCGACAGGAACACGCGGTTTCAGAGCGCCGCCTTCCCGGAGCTGCTATCGCTGGAAAAGCCAAGTGTGCTCAACTTGAGGTCAGAGCAGAGAGCTTATGTCTTAGTCTTTGACTGGGGAGCCTAAATATTTATCCTGTTCTGTCCCTAATGAAAACAAATTGTCAACAGTTGTTCAGTAACTGACTAAATTAAAATCTGTAATTAGTCAATTAGATTAAAGAGTTGGCACAACCTGATTGTATCATGCTGGTTAGGTTATTAAGAGAAAG